TACAAAATTATGATTTCGATATTGAATATCACAAGGGTTCAGGGGTTCAAGAACCCAGCAGAATTTACAGTTAATGTAATGACCTTGTCTGGTTAAAAATTAAAAAGTCTTCAGATTGAGACAATCTGACAAATCCCGGTGAGTTCCATTTAATCTGTTAACCTAGCGAGGCGCAATACTTATTCTTCACTTCATTTAGTCCTTTGACTAATCCTAATAATATTATTGCTCTTAGCGACTGATCGTTAATGAGTCAATCATAAATATTATGTGAAAAGATGCACGTTGGGGTATTGGAGCCCACCAACGGCCAGCGGTAGCGAAATCCTATCCGAAAAAAAAAATAATAATAATTTATTCCCCTGTGTCCGCGGCGCTCAGGACCGCCTAGATCACAGCATCGACCTAGTCAAATCATCCTTTAGAGCCTCTGCTTTATGCAGCATCGCCCTGTCTCCAACCTATCCTTACCATGTGTTGTCTATAATTGTATTCGCTATCCGCCTACACATTAAAAATACGAAACTGTTGTCATGTGGAATGAGCAGTTCAATAAAATTAAAAATACGAAACTGTTGTCATGTGGAATGAGCAGTTCAATAAAATTAAAAATACGAAACTGTTGTCATGTGGAATGAGCAGTTCAATAAAATTAAAAATACGAAACTGTTGTCATATGGAATGAGCAGTTCAATAAAATTAAAAATACGAAACTGTTGTCATGTGGAATGAGCAGTTCAATAAAATTAAAATATAAGATCACCAATATCATTAGTCCTTAACTGTTGTCATGTGGAATGAGCAGTTTACTTAAATAAGTCACCGTTTACAATAGCAATTGATTTAAACTGTTGTCATGTGGAATGAACAGTTAATTAAAATGACCTTTTACCAATATAATTTGTCACTGTAACTATTGTGATGTGTTACACGACAATAGTACCACAGGGTACACGACAATAGTACCACAGAGTGCGTGACTTTGGTGTCACAGTGTATGTGACAACATAACACTACAGTATACACTAAACTCAGTCAGATATGAATCTTATTGCTGACCATAATAATTATTAGCAACCTGGTTCACAGATACCAATCTCAAAGATTAAAATTTACCAGTTTCAGAAATTAATATTCTTCAGTAAAACACCAAAACGGCTAGTGCAGAGCGCGCACAGCCGGTCAGGATGGTCGTATCGGCGCAAAACAGGCAATGCGTTACGTCATCGCTGCACGTGTTCCTAAAGGCGTAAACAAGTGACTCACGTCGGTCGCTCCACTGAAATCCCCCACTACGTGCTTATATAAGGCCGTCCGTTGTAGCGCAGGGCACTTTTGGAAGGACGGCGCTCTGAGAGCGAACGTCTAGTCTATAGCTATTTTTATTATTCAATTATAAAAGTGTTTCAATAGTAAAAATGGACCACTCTAACAATATTGACAATTATGACGTCGGTGCTGCCGACGTCACCAATTTTAAAAACAATTCTGGATCACATACTTCGACATACATTTTAACATACACATATTACTACACAATATACCACATATAATCGGTTTCTATTCATCACTAATTCAGCGGCATTCCGCTAAAGGCCACCAACACATTCTGGATCCGTGTAGTGGTCTAAGTTCAAATTAAAAGAATACTTTTTATTATTATATTAGTTAAACTATGACTGGAAGTTAACCGGCCGTGGTTTAGCTGCAAAGCATTTGAAACGTCGGGCCGTAATTACCAACAACTTGAACAAATATATATCGCGTTTTAAACCGTTAAAGTGTTTTCGCTCGCCAAACACCGAGATTATCATACAAGGCCTAAATAAATAGCTTTAAACAGCTGATCCGTCAACAAATTGCTATACAATGGAGCGAGTAATTGCCAATTATTCTATGTTTACGTATTTATGTTCCTTTGTACCACTCGTATTGTAAAGGCTGGTCAATTAATTTCGCAATCGAACCTTCTACTCGCATGTCAAATAAATTATCCGCTATATCAATTATAGGGTTTTATTAGCTTCCGCGTTTGATTCGGATATGATTTTTGAAGCTCAATTGATTGGATTTGTAGAGGTGAAATTTCCTAATTAATTTATTGCGCTTTGATTTTTCCATTAAAATTACTAACTAATTTAAAATAGATTTTAGATTGAAAAAAATTCCGACACGGGCAGGACTTGAACCGACATCCATCGCATTCCGTGCTGATCTAACTAATTAAGCTACCTACCTGCCAACAAGTTTTTTCAATCTAAAATCTATTCTTAATTTATTTAGTGTCAACATGTGAAAAATATTAAAGTATTTAAAATACTAAATTTTGCTTAGATAAATAGACTTATGAAATGCGTTAAAATTGTTCTTGTAGAAAAAGCCTAAAATAAATCTTGATATATTAAGAAATATCTTACAAAAATGCTAAAATGAAGACCAACCACTTACGAACATGACCCCTTTTATATTCCGTTCGTGTACCTATATTTTGCTCTGAGCTAACATTTTCAAAGATTAAATTCTTCGTCGACGAGTGAAATTTCACAATATTTTATGAATACCACGTTTTAACATATTGTATCACAACAATGTATATGCAATAAATAACTGTTCAGAACAGCAAATTTAATTATATACATTTTACAGCCCGTAGATTAGGTATATTGAAGGATTTTCAGTCTTGCATCGGTTGGTGGACTGATATAATGTCATAAAGTAATTATAAGAAACATATTTAACGGTCTCAAAGTCGCATCTTACTCACGCAAAGCTTAGACTAACCACGGAGGTCGATAAAGCTCACTAAATGTATACAAAATATTTGCTTTGATATTAAATTAAAAGTAAATTTTTCTCTCAACCTCCAGCAAATACACAAATGAAATACAAAATACGAAATTTCATTTCGAGCTTTAAAATTCCTCAGAGAGGGCATCTTGAAAGTTTTTTAATATTAAGAATGGAATTCTCAAGCTGTGCGTTATTTTGACCTAAGAACTCTTCGCAGACTAAACCCCTAATAAAGCAACTCTAGCTTATTTTACTTAACTTCATAAACTACAAGTCTTAGAAGTACAAAGTAGACTCCTAACACAAGTAAGTATACACCAGTAATCAATCGCTGCTACAAGTTTATAAATATTGTTAAAACTTTAATAAATCATTTTTACAATGATTTATTTGAGAACATTATACATTAAAAATAATATTGAAACAAATGAATGTAGCAAATATAAACACACATAAATTTGATTTAATATTTACAAACCGTATTTTTTTTTTTTTTTTGTTGAAATAGTTTGTTTTTTTTTTAATTCCACGTTTGGCTTAGACTATACATTTTGTGTGAATTCAGAATCTCGACTTTTATCAGTATAGGTAATGGCCAGTTTCTCCAAATTATGTTTGTCTGACAATGTAGTGTATTGTTGACAATTTAAAGATTGTATCCATATAACACAACTAATTTGTTTTACATCATCACGAGCAAGAGTTTTATACAATATTGTCACCGAGATTTTCAACATTACAGCGTTTTCTGACCTTCGGTATATTGAGTATAAAATAAAGATATGATAACGCTACGTAAGACCCGAGAATAATTTTAACTGGGACGTGACCACGCAGTGATTGATGTAGTCATGGTAGTTTAATCAGCGGGTATGACGGGTTCAAATTCCCTATTCTTTGGTATGGGTCTTTGCGACCCCTACCATTTTTCAGTGACGACATGAGCGATTACGTGAATGTTAGATATTTTTAAAGATAAGATCTATCGCAGTAAATGATAGCCATAACAGATTTAATTGTTTAATATTTTAGGTTTTACATGGTAAAAAATGAATTCCCGTTTCCGCCTGTGGACAACGGGGCAGACACATTTCAGTGTCCGTTTCACTGTTCGGTTCTTTTACAGGATGAGACTTCAGTGCCCAGCCCAGTCGAAACTACTTATAGTCCAATTCCCTAGAATTCGACCTCTCGCGCTTAACATTTTGTTAGACGCACAGCTTGTAAGCGAGCGGTTTTACGTGGTATCTAACAAGAAAATGCACGAGTCTCTGTCATTTTAAGTCTTGATTGAAATATGTAAGCTCTTGTTTAAAAATTATATATTTTTATGAGATGTAGTATTTGATCTAAATTGTATTACCTTAATCTCTCAAATGGATGTATATTCCCAAGTTTCGGACTCGCAATAAATAACAGTACCTACTTATCTTTGAAGAAGTACTTAAAAATTAAAGAAGCTTTTCAAACATCCTTTTCAGCTATAGGCCCCAGGTGCGATAAGATTTTGCTTTTTTACCTTTTTAGTGAGCAATAGAAACCTTTTCAATCAACTGCGCACAATCAATCAATCGGCAAGGGCATTTGATCCGGGTTAAGTGTCCATCTATGAAATCTTCAGGTAGTAGACACCTGATACCTTATACAAGCCATTTGTATGTTACTTAACTGACGAAAATTCAAATATATATTTGAATATAACAATAATGTCTTTGGGATACCACACACTTACAAATTATTGTTACATTAATGTGTACTGAAATTATCTTACTATTGTTACCTATAAAAAATAACATACTAGCATGACCAATTTGAAATCCACAGAATTGCGTACTTAATTTATTTTTTGCAACGGTTAAAATAAATGTATACTATTTGGTAAATACAATTAATGATCTAGTGATAAAATTAAAAAATTCAACACAGAGTTCGAGCTAAAAAGGCTGTGTAAATTTCGTGGATTTGAATTAGACGAAACGACGCGGAATACGCCTAACATAAATACGAATCGTCGCCCGATGTTTATTTCTGTCCGAACGGCAAAGGGGACTCAAAATAGAAAAGTCCACACACTTCTTGCCACCACGCTGCACGCACGCGGAAAACGAACCAAATTAAAACACCACCTAAACATTTTGGTAGTGTACGGAAGCGTGAAATTAAAACACAAATTCGTATGAGCGAATAACAGTACACGTCTGAATAGCATGATGACGCGGTTACGATTGGCGGCCATCTTGTTTTTTGTGAACTTTTGTGCGGCGTGCGATGTTGATATGGCGGTATACAGAGTTTCGGTGAAGTTTTTATGGAGTGAAGAAATATTTCCTAAGGATTATCCGCTGTATCGGCCGAAAGCTCAGTGGTCGGCCCTTTTCGGTACGTTGCATGTGCATTCAACTAAAAATAAATTACGAAAGCAGGTCATACTAATACAACTCAAAAATAAATACTGAATTTCACTGTGCCCAGATGTAATACGAAAATCAATTATAACTCATATAATTTTCACTTGACTATATCGCACTAATAATACGTATATTTATGTGAAATATTGTAGTTCAAATTAAAGTTAAAAAGTGTTTACTGATATTATCGAAATATCGTACTTTTCTTGAATATATAATACAAACCAAATTGTACCACCATGGCTCTTTGGTGGTAGAAAAAGAAAGATTTAGATATTTTTTAACGCTCACAAAAACTAAATCTAATATTCAAATCTTCTATGAATAAAGTTAACATTACCATGATTTGCCTAGGCTGACACGAATAATAATTCCTCGTAATTCAAACCAGAGACCTGGAGGCAGTGAACTGGTTGACCGAGTCACCAAGTGTCTTTACAACATGACAATAATACATTATAATCGTTTATTATTTAAGACTACCCGCAAACTCTTATTTCTTTCGGAAAACTTTCATTCATATAATTAGAACAATAGAAAACACAATAGGAGGTCGGAAATTGGAGGGAGGAAAGTTTTCCTTTTATCTTTGAGCTAAGTGACATTTTGTGGGCTCTCTTCAATCAGATAAAGATATATTTATTTGTCCTCAACAAGCTTTTAGACAAAGGGAATTCGGGATGTTATCGCTCTTCCTTTTACTTACCTTAATATAATATCGTTGTTGTTTCACAAATGCTTAGTTAACCTGCGGAAGGCTTTTAGTTTGACGAAATTTATGACGTAGGTGATGAAATTTCAACTAATATTTTTACATATATAATGTACGTTAAAAATAAAAACAGAATTAAAACACTTTAAAATACAAATATAGTAATACTAAATTAATTATTTACATAAAAGAGTTAGTGCAAAGGCGGTCGTATCTCCTATGGCGATTACTTGCAGGCAACCTTTGTATTAAGAAAAGAAAAAAGAAAAACGCTGCAAAAATCAATAAATAGACGATAGGGCACTGAAACCTATATGTAAAATCAAATACTGTATGTAGTTTACGCGAGTAGTACACATTTAAATAAAACAATTTAACGGTTTAATACGCGATATATACTAGTTAAGCTTATTAGAAAATTATTTTAACAACGGACCGACGTGTCGGATGCTTATGTATTCTATAAATCTCCTGCAATTTATATTGCGTTTTAAACCGATGATGTGTTTTATTAAAATATCTGTAAAATCGTTCGACAAACATCTCCGCTGCAAACCCCACGTATTAAACGGAATTTATTACGCCTTGCTTGATATTAAATGATATTTTATCCGCGCACATATAACCGAAATTCCTTTAAATCACGTCATTCAAACATTATATTATTGGTGGAACGAGAAAAATTTCCTTAAATTACGTTTAATGGCGATTTTAGTATCCACTTCCAGATTCCAGTCAAAAAGGAAGATTAAGTTGGCGCGTAAAGAGATTTATAGATCTATTCCTTTAAATATTATGAATTTATTGGTAACGTTGAGATATTGCCATATTTTCAGCTAAAGTTACGTACGTATTTTATACCAAATCGGTACTGTAACCTCATAAAAACAGTTTCCTTTTATAACAACACTACATTTATTTATAGTCGTACAAATTTTGGTCTAAAAAATTATTGTTTAGCTGTTTACCGAAAAATATTTAGTTTATTTGATTTTCGATCCGTTTAGTTTTAGTTTATTTTTTAATGTACACTAATACATATATCCCCTTTGACAGTGGCTAATTAAAAGATTCGTATGTTGCTCGTAGTTAAAAATCACGAAACGAATTTTCACACGTCGTCAACAGTTAAAGTGTTTCATTTAAATACATCTACACATATAACATAAAACTTTAATTAGCCTTCTCTTTATTCTTTCTCGCTATAGTTAATGATGTAATAGCATCAACAGTTCATTCAACCATCCACAAGTTATGTGTAACACGTGAAATGTTTAAAAATGTCAATGTCCACGCCAAAATTATACTCAGCGAATGAGCTTTTGACATTCTGTTGTATTTTCAGGATGACACAAATGTATTCCGTATGAGTGAATGACATTAATAATGAAGGGCAACACATTCTTTCTTATTTTAATAACCGAAAACGCTATAACGTTTGGTAGGCGCATTCGTAGACAAGATAGGGAATAAAGTCGGTTCGTAATAAAGAACAATCAACTAGTTCGGGTCTTGCCTTTAATTATAAGTCACGTAATATAGATATCATAACACTTTTAACGGTTTAAAACGTGAAATGTATTAAGGGAATTTAAAGTTATTAACTACGGCTTTATATTTCATCGTTATAATTACTACGGCTTTATATTCATTCGTTTTAAACCGTTAGAAGTGGTTAAAATCATTGTGTAGGTACTACTCACGTAAATTCAAACAATACGTGAATCACTTTACCTCAATTGACCATAAATATATGTGTGTATAATTATATACGGTAATTGAAAAGGCCTTTGCAACGGCTTGATTATTTTTAATGTGATTTTGCATGTTTGTTTAGTACGTCTCAGATTAAATCATAAGATATTGAATAAATTACTGTTTAATGTGTATATTATTTAATTTTATGTATTTGTTTTTCATTTTAGGTCAATCACACAATTCGTCCTACAACTTGTACCATGTAGGTGAAGTGGCTCGACAGATCGTGCGAAATTTCGCTCAAAATGGAAAAATCGATGCCCTAGTGGAAAACGGTGATGAGGATCCGAGGGTTTATGACCAGTTCTCCACAGCCGCTGTGGGAGAAGGAGAAGGAGAATCTGAAAATATGGTGTTCATAGATGGCGCACATACCATGGTGTGGATATTTTAAATTGTATTGATGACATATTTTTGGTTAACCATTTCTATAGCTGTGTACCTTTATGACTTTTTTATAGTTTATGTATCTGTACACATATTATTTAATTAATTGAAAGAACACGTGTAATTTCGGACTAAAATAAATACTGTCTGGAAATTACGCGAGTAGTACACATTTGAATAAAACAGCAATAGTTAAAAACGAGATTTTTATTTAAAACACTTTAACGGTTTAAAACGCTATATTTTTTTTTATCGAAAGTCGGGCCGAAGTTAAAAATAATTTTCAAATAAGTTTAACTAATATATCGCGTTTCAACCTTAAAGTGTTTTATTTAAATGTTACTACTCGCGTAAACATAGACAGTATTTGAGATATATGTTAGTTAAACTTATTTCCACATGAGTGTAACTAATATATACATATTGCGTTTTTAACCGTTAAAGTGTTTTATTTAAAATCAATTTATTATTGACAAAAGAGTAAATATGGAAAATACATATGCAATTACTGCTGTTAATTACTATTATACTACTAAATTACTAGTATATTATCGGTATGATATATCGAGTGTAACAGATTCGAATCCTGATAGTAACAGAAATTAAGAAATCACACAATGTTTTCTCTATGGTATTAATTGTAAACTACTACTACTACTACTAACAATAGACTGTCCATATTCCAGGTATCTGTGGTATGCCGTATAATACCATCACCAGACTGGTTTATTGGCGTTGACAGTCTGGACCTTTGTATTGATTCTACTTGGGTCGACCAGATTACTCTTGATGTAAGTATTAAGCTGCTATAGTCCCAAATTTTAATACATTATTATGTTTCACCAAAGTCTATTTCAATATCTTAAGAATTACCTGCTTACTTACCTTTCTCTATATTAAAGAAGTTATAAAGTAAATCAATAATCTATAGTTATTAAGTTTAAATAAAACAGCGTTTAAGGAATAGAGCAACTTGTGTGCGCTGCTGATATAATTAAGCTGACGTTCATTTTTAAAGCTTCAACCCCTCGACGCCGGTGCAGCTAGTGGACTCACCTTCACGGCTCCACGTTGGGAGACATCACCACCAGAACCAGTGTTCAAGCACGGACCACGTCACCCCAATCATCCTGCAGCCGGCTTCTATTACCCAAATCTTAGAGAACTACCGTCGATTGCTAAGATTGAATTTACTAAGGTACATATGAGTCTTAATTCCATAAGTTTCTATTACTGGAATACAGAACTCTTAACGTAACGTTTTCTCTGTGGCTCGGTAACACAACGTTTTGCTTATAATACATGAAGTTTGAGAAGTCATAGGTTCGAATTCCATGAAAACTTCTTTCAAAAAATAACTCTCCCATAACCAACGGCTGAACTGGGCGAAAAATCTGTTCGTGTGAGTATAATACATTTCCATTCGTTATTTGAAAAATACTATACATAAAAAAGGTTTATCAACTGAATCCAAACTTAAATTCTAGATCATTTATTTAAGTTTAGAAGTGAGATTCTTTAAACTATTCTGTAGATTTAAAAAGGTCGACTAAAAAGACTCTTTAATCTCTACCTACCACTCGCGTTAACGACAGACAATACAGATAAAACGTATATACCTAGCTTATGAAAGTATAAATAACATATGAGACAATTATTTCTCTGTAAGTAAAAGATAATAATCTTTGCCATTCGGAGGTAATAAATAATTCAATAATACTCACGAATGTCGGTAAATTAATAGGATTATTTGGAGTGCCTCAATAATACCATTCGATGGTGATATACGATATTAGCTATTATTATGAGGGAGGAATAAATTTATATTTTTCCATCATATTTAATGAGTCGGTAAACGTGAAATATCGTTAAATACCATTGTAAACGGAAATACAGTTCAGAAGATCAAAAGATCAGAAAGACATAAACTGGTTTCAAACCCATGTCACCCTATCTATTGTATCTGTGGTGAAACTTTAAAAGCTGTCTCAGCAAACAAAGCATGGCGACCTGTCGTTCGGTGGGTTCTAGGTCCAGAAATTTCGACTTCTTATAGACTTCCATATATTTAGATTTATGGAATTTAATTTCACATTCAAATGAACAAACACTCTTCGATAAGTATCTATATTAAACGCCATTTATTCAAGGTCAAAGAATATTCTGCAAAAGAACAGAACGACTTAGCACGAAAGGAACTTCTAGCAAATCTAAAGAAAAAAGACCAAAAGAAGGGCACTCCGCGCCGCAAAGTGAATCTTGTTGAAGATTACAAAGATATCACTACCAAGAGCTATATTGATCAGCTGAAAGATCTAGAAGAGGATCCAGTCGGAACACCGAGCGCTGATGTAGCAGATAACAATGTGGTGGTCGTTACCCAATCACCATTTTCGTAAGTAGCTTAAAAGTATAATATAATTTCCATAGTATTATTTTAAGATATATTTACCTTTATGAATCTTTTAATTGATAGAAATTGATAATCGAAAATTATCCAATGATGTGGTAGATTTTATATTTGAATTTAACTAAGCATTGAATATAAGCGCTTTTCGTCTTATTTTTCTCACTGCCCGTAATAGAAGAATTGATAGAATGACATCAGGTTCAAATTTCGATACGTTAGATCGTTATAATTACTTATACTAAAAAGGACCTTTTTTTATGATAGAGGAGGACACACGGTGTCACTGAATAGTAGGTAAGATACCCCAAGCCTATATCATCTAAACAAGCCCTGTTGACCTATTTTGGCTTTGGATATTCGGAAATCCACAGACTGAATCCGACACGTCATTAAACTTCACGGCTTTTTCAGCTGTGGACGGTGTTTTTTGAAAACACGGCTGTTTTCCAGCATAATGTTAGACGAAGTTGGTTCAATGTACACCATGTTGGTCCCGGTGGGGACCAACCCAATGACCCGTTGATTATTAGCCATACAATGCTGCCATTACACCAACGCGTCCGTCAAAACTTATATTAAAAACATTTATACGTTATAATACTAGAACAAACATTTTCTACTTATTGCATTTAATAATAATAGTAGATGCTTAATAGTGGATAATATCTTTTATAGGGAATCAGATGAAGAATTTGACAGCGATCTGAAAAACATGGACGATGTTGTGTTAGCGGTGGCTCATGGCAAGAAGTTGGGTCTGGGTAAACACCTTCCGAGGCATTTCCGATCTCGCCTGCATCACGCAGTTAATAAAATTCAACGTAAGGTTCATATTAAGAAATAGTGACTATAAGTATGATAATACTGTGCTAATAAAATTTGCAATAAAGAATTAACAATTTCTCATTTAACAATTTCTTCATCGCTTTATTAAAACTACCTAATCTTTGAACTTATGCACGAGTTGAAATTTTAAAAAGACATCAAGAAAAATAACAATACATTTTTGAACGAGCATTAAAATTACTTCAAGTAGTAAACGAGTCCCTATAGTTTGAAGGTAATCTATACTAATATATAAATCTAAAGAGTTTGTTTGTTTGTTTGAACGCGCGGGAAATGTGGAGAAAACGGAGGAAATTATTCACCTTTGCGGGTATCCGTTGCGCACGCTTCGAAAACTGTTCAAGATATTTAAAAAACAAGAGTAAATGATTCTTCTTTAAATTATCTAAAACAAAGTCCGCAACAGTATATGTCAATCTTTTAAAATTAACTTGCAAGATCGACGGGACGCGGGTGACAATAATAACACGTCTGAACTAGCATTAAAGTCAACTCAAAGTCGAAAAGAGCAAAGTGTTTGAAGATAGTAAACAAAAACTGTTACTTCACCAAGACTTGGCATGGCTTCATTTGTTATAATATTCTCTTTATAGCAAATTCAGCTTTAACCCAAAGGTTAATCATTCGTTTACCTATCCAGAAACCCTTTAGGGTAACTGTTAGATACTCTAAGTTACTTCATATTGAATTACCACGCATCATAACTTTAATTATGAAAAAAGCACTCTTCCGTTCATTCTCAGTTACAGTTTCAGCTCAACTTACATTATTATTATTTTTTTCTACTAATTCTATGTACTGTTATTTAGACACCTTAAAACACAAGTTTAAGATAGGTACATGTATCAATAAATAGAAAAAAATTAACGGTGACGTTTACGACTCGGTAGCTTAATTGGTTAGAGCAACAGCAAAGAACGCTGTGGATGCCGGTTCGAGTCCTGCCCGAGTCGTTATTTTTTTTTTCAATCTATAATCGATTTTTAAATTACGATTAACCATTTTAAAATCCTCTTGAAAGCAAATATAGGGCAACAGCGCATTTTGTTTAGATGGCTAGTGCACATCACCTACTATCGAGTGAATCCCATGCTTATCTTCTCTACGATCGTAAAAAAATAGTCAAATACTATCTCACACTTTTTTGTTCGGTGTTCCCTGATGGTACAAATGTTTAAACCGTATCCTATTTCCTTCTGTTAGAAGATAGTTTGAAACTACCAAGTGCATTTCAGCTGACGACTGCCTTGTATCGGCATGGAGCGAATGGAGTCCATGTTCAGTGACATGTGGCTTTGGCGACAAGTTCAGAGCAAGGAGTGTCCTCAGAAATAAACGGGATAAAGGCAGAGATTGTCCAGCCCTCAAAGACAGAACGCATTGCGGTAATGTTAACTCGTGCACACACATCGATTATTTCGAATGGTGAATGCGTTTGACTGGTACATTCATGTAATAAAGTGTTTTATAATATATGTTAATTATTTTTTTGTATATTTCAATGGCCTGCAAGTCATTTACTAGACAAATCTATATCTATAGTAATATATAAAGCTTTCTTTGTTTCTCTTTCTGAAAACGAAGTCGCTGACACAGCTAGTAAAGGTAATAAATGGGCCAAAAATCCGTTTTGAAAGTATGTCGTACCACGGCGTACCTCAAGTATGTCCAGTCATCAGCTAGACGCACTCACTAAAAATACTTAGTAACAAAGTAAGAAATTTTCACTATTTCTTATATTGTGGTGATACTAGACTATTGAAATATTACAGTAAATCTTTTCGTAAGCAAGCTGAATTTACTTGTAACATCTTATCCGCGCCACGTTTTGATCGTTTCTCATATTGGAAGGATAACCGAGTTGCCCGCGTAGTTTTTCTAATAAATGGCGGCGTATTTTTTCGATTACCCGAAGGGGGGATAGTAAAATGTTAACATCGAATCGATGGCAGGACACCTCCTTATTTGTATTCTGTGCGTGCTCTTCACAAAATCAAGGAGTATGTGATTCGATTTCTATAGTCTCTTTTAAATCTTATAGAGATGTTTAACAATATTCAATGTTTTTCCAGAATACTTTGCCAGGTATTCGCACATAGTTTTATTGACTACATGATTTATAATCACAAAATTACATCTCTAGTTAGTAGATCATTAAATATTGTCTGTAGTTTACGCGAGTAGTACACATATAAATAAAACAACTATACAACTACATCTATTGTTAGTATACATGTATATAACAATATAAAACAATAATCTACTAAAATAAAACACTTCCCCGTCTCCCCGTGACCACGGCTGCTGCAAAGCATCCGAAACGTCGGGCCATAGTTAAAAATAATTTTCAAACAAGTTTAACTAAAATATGTTACGTATACGTTTTAAACCGTTAAAGTGTTTTATTTAAATGTGTACTACTTGCGTAAACTACATGCTGAGCAATAAAGAGTTAAATACTGCCTGTATTTAACTCTTTATTGCTCATAAATCGTTGTTTTCTCCTATAAAAGTATAATATAATTATTACATTAACAGCTCTATATAGATACCTTGTTCACTCAATCGGAAACATCAATTGAGTGTCTCATCGCGAGGTACATACTAAATACGTAAACTTCCATGCTTCACGCAAAGCTGTCGACATAGACAACCATCATGTTGGAGGTTGCGTGATAAACTTCACCAACTTAGGTCCAACTTGGCTCATAAAAGGGTTTTAGTAATAATTAATAAAAGTAGCTGAACCTGCGGTTTACGTCGCGTCGTGCTTGTAAATTCTACTCCGTATCAAGGCAATCTACTGCTAATCAAAAATAAACCTTTTCAACTAGAATAAACGTTTATTTTTCAATGGCAATCTTCGGACATATTAAGTTATAAAAGAGGTTTGTCTGTATATTGGGTTTCTTAAATATTTAATTTTGTCTGTGGTTCAAATTTTTCGAGATTTAGACTAAAAATTTAATCTTACATGGTAAATTAGTGGTTTACAATTAGTTCACAGTGTCGTGTAATAGATTGATGTATCGTTGAATTTTTGTTGGTTTTTTATAGTACCAAGGAAGACCATTTCAACAACAAAGGTAACTGTATTGTTTTTCTTGAATTATTATAACATTTCAGTATACTAATTCTCTTGACTATAACGAAGAAACGTGTGCGTCTCAGGACGTTTCAAAAAGTAATAAATTAAAGGACACTATGTAATTAAAAATATGTAATACCCGATATATAGGCGCCGTAGTAGGTAGGACCTAATGAAGTTATTTCTTTTAAAAGATTTACATTGTGTTAATATTTTTATAACTTTTTATATATAACATAAACTAGTTTAAAACGCGAAATTCATTAGTAGGTAATAAGCGTGGTCATGGGTACCACAAAGCATATGTCGGGTCGTAGTTAAAATAAATAAAGAATAAGTTTAACTAATCCATTTCTTGTTTTAAATCGCTAAATGAGTTTTACTATTTTATTAGTAAAACTTATTTTAACTACGGCCCGACGTTTTGGATGCTTTGCGCAGCCGTGGCACGGAGAAGAACGAAACGTGGCCGTAGTTAAAATAATTTTCAAACAAGTTTACTAATATATTTCGCATTTTAAACCGTTAAAGTGTTCTACTTAAATGTGTACTCGCGTAAACTATAGACAGTATTTAGCCCTAAGTATATTTGTATCCAGCTTATTCGCCTAATACGAACGTGCAGAATTTGCGCCAACGTCGAAGGTCGAAAAGGCACGTCGCAGTTATTGCGGCAACGCTCGAGAGTCGACTCCGAATGGCTTGCCCCATTGTTTTCTTACGGCTGAATATTGACTACGAGTGTTCCACGTAAATCCGTGGAAAATTCAAAGAAAATTGGTTTTTCGTATTCACTGCACCGATTTGATTTGACTTCGATAGCATGGGTGAATACAGAATATACATACATTCGTACCTACTTATAAGTAGTAAATATAAAACAAAAGTATATGAGACAGATTTTTTCTTTCTCAAGATTCGAACCCCGAACCTCGCACGGTTGTTAGAATGTTAGTAGACGTTATTGGAGATCAAAGTTTCAATCATCAATTGTTACTTTATATCAAACTATTTACATAGCGAAAAAGAGGATAAGTTTTGTTAGAATATTTGCAACGATATACATACATAATACGCTTCCAAATTGTAAATTATATACAAGTTAAGACTAAAGTATTTTCAATTCAATATTTATACTACTAACTACGATCAACAGCACTGCTGATGTAGAATCAATCCTTATAAGATCAACGGATCGCAGGTTCGATTCCCACCGGCTTCAACAGGATTTTTATCAATTTGTTGGACTTCCTCTGGATATTAAATGGATGGTATTAATATCAAACTACCGTCCGGAACCACCCGCTATGGGTGGAGGCGTCGCGAGATTTAATCACGTTACAGTTTCGGTTTCAGTTTGTGTCAACCTAAATATAGGTCGACAGCATATCGTGTTGAGATATATGTCTGGGGTATTTTACCTTCAATGAAGTGAACGGTATACTTGTCTGTCCTACTCTATCAAAAAAAATACACACAGATATAGAAATTTTACTTTGCCTAGAATTGTTTAGAACCAATTTTCATTATAGTGAAAATCGCAGAACATTGCAGTGGAAGTTTTCAATTTTCCGACACATTAGACGAGTTGCCGCGTCCCGTCGTGATTGATTCCCGTTGGCGTGGCGCTGATTGATTGTTCTAAATCGGGAATTCTTCAAGGAAATGCACTCTAAGAAAATGCTTGCGTGTACAGAATTTTTCGAATACTTCTAGCCGTTAGGCGGCGTACACAAGCATCCAATATTTTGTATAGACAAAATTATTCAACAATAATTTCTATGTACAGAATGTTTTGACCGCTTCTGTAGCTAAATGGTTAAACGTGTTGCCTAGGATTGCATTAAGCGTGAGAGGTCCTGGGTTCGAATCCCGGGAAAACAGTAAATTGTTTCGGCAAAGTCTGATCAACTACTTGCCTATAAATAAAACCGATCAGTGAAACACAGAAATGTGTTCGCCCTATGCCCCACGAGGGGAAACAGAATTTCATACACAGAATGTTTTATGCTAAATACATATTATCATATAAAATACTCTCGACTATCTTATACGAATATTAGCAACATCGTCAGCATTGTATCTAAAACTAGTTTAATTAATTCTACTCTAGGCTTGGACTAAAATACAAGTTAAAGGGTCACGAAACACCGTCCACAAATGAAAAAGCCGTCAAGCTTCGCGTTTGGTTTCAGTCTGTAGATTTCCGAATATCCAAAGCCAAAATAAACGGAGCGCATGTTGTTTAAATGTTATATGGCTGTCATAAAAAAACTAAGACAACAATAACGAAGGTTAGCTGATTTTGTTGATATATCAAGGGTTTTTTTTTAAAAAAAACGTGAAACGTGAATGCATAGATAAGTAATATTATGAAAAATAAAACGTAAGTATATAGTTTTATTAAATGTATCTAACTATTTTAATCTTAACACCTAAATTAAAAATCGTTTATAGATTGAAAAAAACGGACCACAGATTCCGAAGGCTCAAATCTTTTATATAGTGCCATAATGTGAAAAATATTAAAGTTTTCGTAACTCCGCGTAAGGACATTGCTTTTGCGTATCGATGACATAAGAATGACTTTTTTGACAACTGCGATTTTAGTCATACATCGGTATCATAGTCCTAACTGCAACCAATTTATCAGGCAGTCTTTGAGGCACTCTCAAAGCCACCTCATCCCTCAGGAGCGCTCTAGTTAAGTGTTGCAGTGATCTTTTATTCACAACCCCTTCTAGGCTACAAATGTATACAACTAGCTTCGGGAACCGCTAATTCACTTGATGTATGATGGCGCTATTACCGAAGTAGGGACCAGTAATTTATCATAACTTATCGTGATCTTAATCAACGTTCTGTGCTCTACACAGGAGGGACGTTGGCTAATTTAAAAAAAATGAGACAAATATTAAATGGAGGTTTCTAGTTGTACCTGTATACTAGAAAATGTTTCTTTTTATTTGTATGTAGGTATTAATACGTAAAATTAATCTTTGAGTAAGGCTTGTCAGCTTGGTCACATGGGAAGTAAAAAAATTGAGAGCAAATCATTAAAAATTCTTAATTAATGGTAAAATTATTTCTTCATAGAATTATAAATACAAAGCACCTATCAAGTATAAATAAAAATCTTAAATAGCTACGATCTAAAGTAAGTCAAAGGGCTTCTGAAACTCTATTATTATCGTTTTTTTTTCTTTAGGACCCATTTCAGTGTTCATTTCAGATGGGTTTCCTTACAAGTAGTTGATCATACCTGTTCCCTGTGCGTCCGAAACAATTCATTGCTTCCCCGGGATTCAAACCCAAGACTTCTCGCATAATGCTATGCTAGACAACATGCATTTAGCTACAAAAGTGGTTTCGGGTCTAATGATTATTTAAATAAAACACTTTAACGGTTTAAAGCGATATATATTAGTGATTATTATTAAAGAAAGTGGTGATGAACAAAATGATGATGAACAAAAATTTTCTTTGTTTCATTGGATGTTTTTAGAATATACCATCAGCGTGTGACCGAAATTTTTTGTATTCCCAAGATTCGATCCCCGAACCGATCGTATTTAGAGAGTATTTTTTTAATGTTTTTAAAAAATGCCTAATATACCTACTATGAAGTTTTACTAAAACTAAAGATAACGTTAAGGTTCATACGGTATATATATGTATAGGAATAAAAAAATAAGAAAAAGTTAGGCTTAACTAAGGCATCGCAAAAAATTCGATATAGACGGCCATTAATCAATCAGACACCAAGCGTTCGAGGGTAAAAACTCTACACACAAAAATGCGACCGCACTACGTAAATCACGGTACGAGAATTTTGTTGTGGGGCATTGAGGAAAAACAAAAGCTCTCCCGCATAGTTCAACTTTCGTAAGAAATAAACGAAAATATAATAATGCGTAAAAAATAAAAAAACATTCCTCAAAGTTCGTTTTATATTTAAAAAGTTTTAAACGTAATGGATATAGTTATTGTACCTATATAAGAAACAAAAAGATATTCCGGTACCGGGAATCGAACCCGAGCCTCCTGGGTGAGAGCCAGGTATCCTAGCCACTAGACCATACCGGATTGAATGTGGAATTCGAAAATAAGATATTGGTTCTGCATTCAGTTTAAATTTAGTATCATGTTCGTAAGATAAAAATAACTGGGCAGTAAACGAGCGACTATAAGTAGTTCACTACTTAGTTTCTTCCAATACAAACTATATTGGAAGAAACATAGCTGAAAATATTTTAATCTTTCAAATTAAAATGCTATTTACAAAATCAATCTATCTTAATATTGGTACTATTATAAAGCTGAAGAGTTTGTTATATGTTCGAATTGTATCATCATGAAAATATTTATCTTCCAACAACAAAATACGTTTGTCGGATCAGTTAGTACAATATAATTTAAATAAGACAGTTTAAAACTTTGAACGGTTCAAAACGTTCTGAGACTAAGTTTGTTGCAAAGCAGTTAAATGTGTACTACTCGCGTAAACCACAGACATTATTTAGTACAATATCAAAACACCTACTTAATATCTAAAGTCATATTGGTCTTAGAAACTCTTGTATTCAGATTTGTTCGCATAATATCTCATTCTTATTTGTATTACGAAAATTATGATAAAACTTTTCAAGTTAATCGCAAAAATTTACGAGAGAAATTCACGTAAACAAGGTACACAATAAAAATCACAAACGATTCGAGTAAGAATGCATAAATTGTTCTTTAGAGATCTGATAATGCTAACGTCGAGCAACTTTAGCCATTCGACCTTTGTAAAAATATTGGAACTAACAAGAACACTTGTGCTAAAATTTATTGGAACATTTTTCATATAGTTACACTATACATGAAGTTAACAGGACTTCGTTAGAATTTATTATCATCATTATATATCCATTTTTTGTTGCAATATTACACTGGAAAACATTTTGACATATTATTATTCAAATGGCACAACTGAAGTCTTTCAAAAAGGAAGGCAATTGATGCGGCATATGCTCTATAGAGTCCCAATTCCGTCTCTCTTCAACTCTTTCTCTAACTGATCTCTCCTTTCCTCTGTCCTGCCTTTGGATCCTGTTGAAAATATTACGCTGTTCCTCTGCAATACCTTCACAAATACTTTGCCTCTCTCCTGCCTTTCCCGTTTGACACAAACCTGATATTTCGATGAGCTCATTTGACAATTTGTTATATCTAGTCACGTGATAAGGGCAAACATTGTAGCAGTTAAATTCTTCATTGTAGCTATTTTTAGGGCTGATATCATCATTACGAGGCTTAATAACAATATGAGTATTAATAGTGTTACCACCGTTGCAAACATTGTTGAATGGCGCGGATCTGTAGCCTGCTTTATCTGTATTATCACGCTTCCAAACAACACCACAGCCAGCACCACTCGTACTATCGTCAACAACCCATCTTTTCGACTTGAAACATAAATGTTTACAGACACATTTGTTTATGTCACAGGATCCGTCTTTCAACGCGTTGCATGTGGTCGAAACACCTTTAACAGATGGATTTTTAACTTCATCTATATATTGATCCCACTTTACGTCAGAGTGTGAACTGAAATCTGTTGATATATCCGCTCTATCGTCTTTCATATTCTCTTTTAAAGTTACATAAATACTGCCCGTTGGTTTGATGATGAATGATGCGTATTGCGCATTACTTTTTATATCGTTGTTTAATGCTATTGATATATCGCCATTCTCGTTTTTCTTTATCGGAATGTAACCTTTAGTTGAGCCACACAAATATTTTCGTAGATTATTAACGAACGAGTTTCTTGAAACTTTATCCAATACTACAGTGTACTGTCCTGAATCTGTTCTAGTTAGCTTTGGTGATGTAGCGGTATTAATGTCAAGAGAAAGATTATTTCTTACATTATTATAAATATTGGATTCACTACATGACTTTTGAAATATGTATTTTTTCTGTTCTTTTTCGTCGACTTTTGGTTCTGAATCTTGTTGTCGATTAAGTACATTTTCAAAGATTTTTGATGATATAAAAGAACTTTTTTGTCGTAATAAATTCGTGTGAGATTCTTCTTTATCATCTATTAATAATTTTAAGTTTCCATCTTCAGTCTTTGACAAGTACGCTTTTTTGGATTTGCTATCCGGTATAGGATCAAAATTTATGACATATTTATCAGAGTCGGTCTTTAAAAATTTTACACATGTAACGTCTTCTTCACATTCGTGACATTTAGCAATATCCTTATACCAATTTTCATACTCTTTGTCTAATACAATATCATAGTTACCTGAATCTGTACGACGTAAGATTAATGGCTCTTTAATAGCACGTTTCAAGCCCAATATAGTGGCTTGGCATAACTCTGATTTACTTATGCTTGGGTGTTCATGAGATGTTCCAGATATTTCAAAAGTACCTATACAGCTATCGACGACATCTCTATGTCGTTTTGTAGTAGATTCTTCTTTTATTTTTTTAGATGATTTAGCTTTGCTATGTTTTTTACAACGGTGCGAGTGTAACTTTTTAGGTATTGTTTTCTTCAGATCCAGAAGTAAATTGCCCGATGATGTTTGTTTTACCAATATTTTTTTCGCGTTTTTATCTCCTTCTTTACATCCAATATTTATTGAGTAAAATCCGGAGCTATCTTCTTTCAGGTTCATATATAGATCAGCGTTTTCCTTCGTTTTAGTATCAATAAATTTTAAAATATTTTCTTCTAACGCCATAGTTATGTTTCCAGAAGGTGATTCAGATAATTTTGGAGCTGCACATATTATTTCTTTTCCACCATCATTAACGACTATTTTTAATATGTTATTTGTTAAGTTTTCGTCATCCGAATCACTTGATGTTCCATTATTTTTAAATTTATTAATAATTTTATGTTGCGCTCCTTTATTTTCAAAGGTTGAATTTTGTTGTTTATATTTTACAAAAGGTTTTTCTTTTTTATTGTCACTTATACTGTGATCTTTAAATGATAGGCTAGATATAGATTCAGATATTCTTCCAGGTTTTTTCACCGGGACAATGTGGTCGATATTGTATAGCAAATCGCTGTCACTGAAGGCTATCTTTTTGTCACTGAATGGAAACTGTACGATTGTACACATTCCCTTGTCACATATTGAAACTCTTTCTCTTTTCAGTTGTTTTGTATCTGTAATATTATAATTCGTTTTAGTATTGACAAATTTACTTAAAGTTTTTATAATATGGGAGTACAAAACAACTGAAAATTTATTTGTTTAGTTTTAACAGAATTCTTAGAAATGAAACTAAAAAGGTTTAAATAATATTTATACATAAACAACAAAACCTGTTAAAAATCACTTGCTGTTCAACGAGTCACTGCTAATCATCGTGTAACTTACTTTCTCGATAGGAGTTACTTCTGTGTAATATCTTCCCATAACTTCTTCAATAATTCGTTCACGAGGAGCGTCTCTTACATCTACAATATTTGTTTGAAATTTATTTTGAATCAAGTAATATTTTATATCCTGTACTCCCATATTAATAATACTTTTAACTTTCTTACCCTTATGACAGCCGCATGGCTTTGTCGACGTATGACTACACTGGCATGATTTCTGAAATCAATAAATATATTATAACTATACACAGAAAACAATCACTCAATCTCTCTCTACAAATTTGTTAAATTACAATTAGTTTGTCAATTAATATGTACTACAAATAGTTATAAAACATTATATAACAGTGACATTTGTAAAGCCAAAATATTACTTGTTTTCTCACACTCTGCACACTTGGTATAATGGGAACAGAGGATTTGAAACCACGTGATAAAGTATTGGAGCACAATGCTTCTGGCCCAAGCACGCACTGCGCTGCCCTCATGTTCCGTAACTGGCATGATGGTTCTGAAATTAGAGAGGAATTAGAGTTAGACTACATAATTCTCTATTTTAGCAAATATACAAGAAATATAGTTTTTTTTACCTTGACATGGATTTGGTTTCCAGGCTGCTACATCAGCAGCTACACGACTTGCATGCATACCGCAATCGGGACCACACGGGGTGGAATCTTTGTGCGGACACATCACTACTTCACCCTGGAATTAGACGATAAATAGTAGTAAGTTACTATCACGTCCTGTGCCTGGATAAACATTTTTTTTTTATAATAGAGAAGCCTAGACAAGCGCGGCGTTCACTAGATGACAGGTTAAATACCCCGGCCATATAACATATAAACAAGATGCGTCATCAACCCATTTTAGCTGTGGATATTGGAAAATCTACAGACTGAAGCCGAAATGCGACAGATTATTAAACTGAGGTCGGTGACTCGTGACCCGGAAGGAATTTCGATACTCCTACCATCAATTCAATATCCAGATTTCCAGATATAGTCCAAAATGCTTCCGAAAAATTATAATTGGAACCAAAAACTCGTCAAACGTACATTGCTACCATTATACCAACGAGGCCCGTCTTGGGCCTGTTAAATATAGAACATATAATACCGGTTCCTCTTTATCCTCTGGATCTTCTGGACAAGGAGCCGGATCTTTCGGTGGCGGAGGAGCCCGTGTTGTACAAATACAGTCCCTAGGACCATTAGGACAATTGCATTCACTGGAACTCGGCCAGCGTCGGCATGGGTCCTGGATAGTTTGTTTAATAATACTTATTTGATATAACATTATTGCAACAAGATTACTTATAACTTTTTACTCCCATAAATTTAAATATTACCAATAACTTTCAAACATTAAAAAGTTCACCTTTTTAGTAGGCGTCCCTTTGTCAACTTTATCAGGCTTGGTAACTTTTATTTGTTTCAAACAGAGCATCAGTTGTTTATAGGTCTCTTGATCCATCTGAAAAGTAACCATAACTTTACTAGATTAAATACATACTTATCTGTTTTGTGAAGAGAAAGAAGTGATCTTCATTACCTCGCATCGTGTTTTTACAGCACCACCGACAATAGTTAGATTCAAATTCTTTTTCACTGTATTCAGAATAAACTCTTGCAATATTTTTTTGGTAGCTTCGTTCAGTTTACCATTGCGGCTCTTTTTAAGGCAAGTAAGAACGGCATCAGCGACCGCTTTTCCTTGACAAGTTTTTGTTTGCCTTTCTAGAATTGTATACATATTCTCGAAGACATTGTCCAAGAACTTTTGCTTTACTGTCATGCAAACGCAGTCCATTGTATGATCAGGACTACAATGATCGCCTTCGAGCAAACAATTTCTTTCATGGGCACATCTCGGACAGTCAGTACAAAATTTTCTCATATCAACAGTGTCCGTGCACTCGTGACATCGAATACATCTCACTTTAAAGTTCGCTATTTCTTTATTAATTGCTTGTATCTCATCTTCAATATTCTGCTGTTTATTTCTACATTTATCTTTGCACTGGTCGCATGTTTGAAGTAGCATTTCGATTTCCAATTGCAACGCTTCCTTCTAAAAAAAAATTAAAATTAAATATTAGACAATATGATTTTGCAGACAATAAAGTCGTGACGATATAGAGATGTAATGATGTCTATAAAATCAATACTAACCTCCGCCGCCATATCTTCGTTTTCCAATTTCTTTTGCAATAATACTTTGCAAAGTTTTTGCAGGTCATCCCTAGCATCTTTAATATATTTGCTTCCTTCCTGTTCTTTATCAAATTTACGCTTTTTTTCTTCGTTCAGTTGTTTTTCTAACCTCGTTACTTCATTCGCTATATAAGCTAATTTTGCCTATTTTTAAAAGAAAACACACATTTTTATTAAATGTTATTATAAAGAGGATACCTTTGTCTATTGTATAAGCGAGAAAAAGAGGTTCTCTTACACAGGAAGCATTCTTCTTAGATGAAAAAGATTTATTTGTACCCTCGATATCACTTTTATTGTTTTCTATTCTCTTACTAAAGTCTGCTATTTCTAGAGTGATGCATTTCAAATCGCTATTTTTTTCAGTTGTCTTTTCTTTTATTTCTTGCTGACACTTTCCAATATTGTCCATTTGAAATTCTAAATCTTTCTTATTCTTCCGCCATTTTTGGACACTGTTTTCTACTTCTTTCATCTGAAAAAATACATACACACGATATATACACGAAGGCACTAATTATCAAACTTTCTTTTGAGGACCAGCGTCACAAAAACTCATTAATTAGTTCTAAACAACATATTTAAATTATTTATTAAAACACAACTACGGTACAAATAAAGACCTGTTTAAGAAGAGTTTTTTGTCGCTCTAGCGATTCGGCTACTTTTTTCTTGTACGACGCTTCCATGCACGTCCACATGCAATCCGCTTGTTTCAAAAGTTGAATCCCTTCCTTTTCTCGTTGTTCCAAATTGCCGATTTGTTCTTGCAGCTCCTTTTGTGTCGCTAATAGCTCGCTCACTTTCGCTTGACATTTTTTATCAAACGATGCAGCCTTTAAAAAAACTTTAATCATTATACTGTGATATTTACGAGGTTAACATAAACCTTGTTCAAACTAAAACGATCTTAATGGCAGGTACAAATATAATAACAAAAAAATTTATATATTGTAATTATAAAAGTTAAAAGTTGTCTTTTAACTTGTATATTCCGCGAAATAATAGTTACTTATTTTTGTAATATTTTAATTACAGCCCGACATTTGCTTTACAGCAGCCGTGATCACAGTGGAAATCACGGCGGCTGCAAGTGTAAGTTGATATATACTGCAATACAGAAGCTTAAAGGCCCTATGCCTACACTGTCTATCGTAGGTTCGTCTCCCAACTATGTTATTACTTTAAGAGCGAAATTCTTAACCCTTATAATCGTTGTGGTTGTATAACTATTAAAGATTACATACAGAAGTTTCTAGAAAAGGTAAAAGTTACGTACTTCCTTAATATTGCAGAGGACTTTACTGAGCGGCATATTATCACTCCCGGAACTTGGGGAGTTAGGTCGTTGGCAACTTTGCGGCTTCGAGTCAGCACTCTGACCGGATTTGCAGCAACCCGTGCTAGAATAAGGCGTGTAAAGTTATAACCGAAGTCAGGCAGAAATATATCATTTAATTAAAGCAGTGCAACACTTAATTACAAGAATTTAAAATATGAATTCACTAAATAGAAAACTTACTACAACAGATCAAAACACGCTTTATTGGTATTGTTTTATTTATTTAATAAAAAATAATATATCACATTAACGAATATAGTTCGCGTTTGAAATGTGTCAACGGTTTTTATTTAACAATAATATTTTTATCGTTTATGATGGGTTTAAAAAGGGGTAGGCCAAATAACATTTTATTTGCTGGGTGAAATTCTTTGGTTATTTCAAAATAATATTTTTTTGAGTAGTTTTTATCGAACATAAGAATACTTGCACTCTTGGTCACACGGTTTCACTGCAAATTAAACCACATACTTTTTTGGTTTCGGAGAATCTTTGTCACCATCGCGCCTGCAACATCCAGCCATATAACATGTTACTCGCTTCGGTTTAAAGTAACCGGTGCTCTTCGATGTCATGCCCATACGTTCTTCGACTGCTTGCTGAAAAATGCATGTATGATTGATAAGATTAATATATATAATAGGCTAATAATGCGCCCGCGCATTTGCATGTCGTAGCTGTCGAAACGCAAACGTCACGCGCATAATTACACAATATATTATAGCTGTTGACGTAAGTAATCGATCCAATTCTTCCCTAAATCTAAATTATTTTGTTTTAAAGAAATTAATGTAATATGAGATTCTGAGAATATACATATTTTAGTAATTACGTAGGCTCTTACTTATTTTGCCAAATCGGTTACACCCACGCAGTATACATTACATAGACCGGTTAAGAAAATAAAATATAATATCAAGGCTTTCAATCAATACAAACATTATTAAAACACATTTGATCCTTTATTAATAGGGCTTCCGACAATATTGCCGTTTCATTTCATATCTATTAAACAATAAAGTAATTTTATATCGGCGCAAATTCTTACTTTTTGGCTATTTTTTTATGAACAACTATGCAACTCTACGCCGAACCTCAGTCATATAATATGTCCTAAGGCTTCTTTTAAAAAGCTACACCGCATCTGAACTACACCGTTCTCGTTTTGTTTTTCATAGGATTCATGATCAACTAAATACGCACGATATAAAAAAATGAGCTACATTGTACGTATTTCTTCTGATATGTCTTATTCTTAGAAGTTTTTACATGGTAAACTTTTATAACATGTTGGTGGCCTATAGGTATTTGATACTCAATGTATGGCGTACCGTTGATCTACTATTAAACTTATAACGGTTTTCTAATTGATTCAAACAACTGTAAATATTACAATATTATACAATGCTACCCTTTAATGGTTTAAAACGCGAAATATACAACTAAAACTTATTTTAAAATTATTTTACCTAGCCGTAGAACTTTGCGCGTTTTAAACCGTTAAAGCGTTCTATTTATATGTGTCCTACTCGCGTAAACTACAGACGGTTTTCAATACAATATTATATATTTAACTCAACACTTACAGTTAAGTCGCAATCAGGATTTTCTTTAAGAATGTTCCAGAAATTGCACATTAACTTAACCCCAGGGTCATCGGAACAGCAATCTATATTGGACCCGCTCTTGTTTGAAGTCAATTCTCCAATAAGCTCGTCTAATGCCCTATATCGCCGAGCAAGGCATTCCGGGATTTCAGGCATTTTGTTTCTTAGAATCCCCAGAACAATCAGTTAGTCAAAACGAATTAATTGCTTTTGGAGAATTTTTTACAACCTAAAAATTTATGTTTTTTTTTATCCTTCTTGCTAATGTTAAAAATGTAAAACCTCATTTCCATCTTAAGAGGCATAAAGTAAATATTTCTATCCGTTTTAAAGACCAACAATAATTTAAAGGCAAGTAAATTAGATTGTGTTTAAAACGAAATACTATATGCGAGAATGTGCTGCAAGTACTACTTCTACAAATACCTTAGTCGGAAATCTCGTATGAATGTGCTATGTTGATTTTGTTGTAAAAGTAATAACTGACTAATTTTAAAACTTTAACATGCCGGAAGAATTAAAATTAAATAATCTTAGGCTTTGGAATTTTGAAAAGTGTAACGAACTTATTTAGGAACGGATAGGAGACGTCTTTTATGACAGAGGTATTATTCTTTTAGACGTAAATTCATCACGACCAGTAAAAAAGAAAAAATGGATAAACAGTTATATATGCAGTAAATGTTTATTATGCATTCCGCAGCTTTACAAATTTACTTTTATAACTTAATTAATTTAGTTTTTATTTATTTAGGGTAGTAAATTAGCTAAATTGCCAATTTCTTCTTAAGTTATTAAAACTAGTAAGCGCTCACGTTAATTACTTTTATTGTTATATATTTTGGTTTATTAAAACAGTAGTTCTCGTCCTAATGTTGTATATTCTAATCGACTGATTAATCTTTATATTAGCAATCTAACCGTAAAAATAGTAAAAGATAAAATTTCACAAAATACGACCTATTCAGTCAGTCAATGGTATTATTGGGTTTTTGTTAAGAAAAGTTTTTATCAAAAGAAACACACCTACTCCATAGGTATGATTGTTCCAGACCCCAAAAGGGTGTTACGTAGTTTTGGTTTTAGTAACAAGATATGTTATGTAACATTGTGTTTTAGGCATTTTTGCCTACTTTACTATTAATATAGAAAATATATTTTGCCTTTATATCATCTGTAATTATTATACACAAGCTGTTAATTGTCATTTGATTGCCATCAACTGTCATTAGGGATATGTTTACTGTCAAAGTAAAAAACCGCAAAATATTGAGATTCAAACGTAGAACTTGAAATTTAAAATATTAAGTTGCTTAAATAAAGAAATTCGATAAATAGTTTATAATTTTGTTACTTATAAGTATATATTAATTACATTTTTGATTGCGTACAACATACTCTATGCAATCAAATGCATCTATGTATTACGTAGTAAGATAATGTCAGATAACAAAGTATAAGTACACAGTAATAAGCGTACATTAAATAACATTAAATTGGTTTGTTTAAGTTCAAGGCTCAGAGTGTTATCAGTATTGTACTCGACAGATATGGAGTTACTTGGAGCTGTAAGTTAAATTTACTAATGATCAAAATGTTTAATTCCAAATCAAAATTTTCTTTAACCAAATGTAAAAAACAGAAAAGAGTCGTTATAAAAATATCTTATTTATATGTTTATATACTATTATGTTATCTGTGTATTACAGGAACACCCAAGAAATCTTATTCCTGAGTTATGCTCCCAATTCTACCATTTAGGATGGGTGACAGGAACCGGGGGAGGAATTTCTATAAAAGAAGGGTAAAATAATTTTATTTAATTAATTCTAAGATGTTTAGGAACAAGACTAAGTTTGTGTCATGCAATAAATATTAATTATTTATAATAATAATATAGTTTTTTATTTAATAGGGATAAAATCTACATAGCCCCATCTGGTGTACAAAAAGAAAGAATGAAACCTGATGATTTGTTTGTGCAAACTATCAACGATGAAGATTTAGAGTTACCACCACCAGAAAAGAAGTAAGCACTTGTATAACAAATTTTACTATTTAATAATAATATAGAATGCATTTTTCTTATCTTCAGATTGAAAAAGAGTCAGTGCACTCCCCTATTCATGCTGGCTTATAAGGAAAGAGGAGCTCGAGCAGTAATTCATACACACTCACCTCATGCAGTCCGATGCACATTACTTTATGATAAGGAATTTATTATAACTCACCAGGAAATGATTAAGGTTACTTTACTTTTTATTGTTGCCTTTGGCTCTTTACTTAAGCCACATTTAATTGTTTGGAGTCTGCTTCTTACACATTGTTACTTCAACCCCAACACTATACATAATAGCAAATAAAGTGTGTCTTTTAGTGTTGTCACTTGTAAAAAACCTGGTAATGAATCTTACTGAAAAAATATATATTTATTAATATAATAATGCCACATTGTGTGAATATAATACTTTATAAACACTAGTTACTTTTTAAAGAACCTTATTTCGCATTTAACGAAATTCTTTTACAGGGAATAAAAGATGCAAAACTAGGAAGATACCTAAGGTATGATGAAAAGTTAGTGGTGCCCATAATAGAAAATACTCCATTTGAGAAGGATTTAGCAGGTAGTTTAGGAGAAGCGATTGAAAAATATCCCGGAACATGCGCAGTGCTTGTTAGAAGACATGGTGTATATGTATGGGGTGACAGTTGGCAGCAAGCAAAAACTATGTAAGATATTTACATTATTTTTCATTATTCTGTCAGTTGCTTAACTCTTATAAGCCTTAACCTAGTGTTGCCAGATGACACATTTTGTGGAAATGTTCACCTCCGATTTAACTACCACTAGAAAGCATATTTGTTGACAAATAAATAATGATAAACAACATATTTCCACTTCATTTGATTTTATAGACGGTTCTATATTGACGGTTAGAAATAAAACAGATCATTATAAATTTCAGGACGGAGTGCTACGATTATTTATTCGAAATGGCCGTGGAAATGAAAAAATTGAGATTAGATCCAGCATTTAATCCTGAGACTGGAAAAGTTGAAAATGGCGCGTAATCTAAAAGACAAGGTTAAAACAAATGGGGACTGACATGTTTTACTTTTCAACTAGTCGAATATGTTATAAATCTCCATATTTTTTATATATTGTTAATAGTAGTAAGTAACCATTTTCGACACAACTTATAAATATAAACCAATATTTTGTTATTTAGTATTTCTTAACAATTCCGCGAAAATACTTTCGGATACCACGTCTATCGTCTTTTCTCTTCTCGACTCGTTTTCTTTCTCGCTTTTTATAGTCCGTCGACTGATACCATGTACGCTAGAAACGCAATTCTTCGTTATTAATTCCTTAATGTCGTCTAATTCTGCTTTCGATAGTAAGTCGAAGTTATCTTCTACAGTTGTTATATTTCTTTTAGCCATTTTGTATAAAGACATTAAGTCTAAAGATGTTCTATTTTTCCTTTCAAATGAAGCTTGTTTACGTTTCAAGACATTTCTTAAATCATCTAAGTAAGGTTGATTTTCTGATATTTTTCCATCAATTATTTCGACTTCCTTGTCATTCATTTTCTTGAGGTCTTCGCTAGCGACCTTGTATTTCAGTTTGACAGAAGACGGTATATGCGTATCTGTAAAAAAAATATTAAAAGAATAAGAGTATTCTTAGCCCAAAGCTAACCATTACCCAATATACCTTTAAAATCAGGCCTGATCGAAAAATACGTGCGTAATTTTTGTATGGGCTCCGGATTTATCTGTTTGTGGTTTGTCTTTTTCTTGTACACGTCATATTCTATGCACACGACCTTCTCATCCAACTTCCTTACTTCAATGTTATCTTTTTTATACTTCATAAACTTTTCTGCTATAACTTTTATCTTTGGGACTTCACTTATCTCAATTTCTTTGCAAGTATACCCTTCTACAAATTAGATAAAAATATGAATAAGAAAAAATATTGTTAATCAAATATATGATCATCAATGCTCAAAGGCATAATCAAAGGTAAATGTTTTTTTTTAAATTAATACCATTTTTCTCTGCATTAAGAAATTTATCAATATCATCAGTGTTATCAACATCCTGCCATTGTAAATCACATTCAGGGCCCACACATGATGGTACAGGCTCTTCATAAGGATTACATTGTGAACCTTCAGTCTTCGGGGAACTGCCGCAGATAATCTTCTTCAATTCCTTCATATGATCTATGGTGTCCAAATTTCGAGGATCAAAACCATATTGCTCTATCAGAAGGTTTTGATACTGAAAGCAGAGTAGCTTATTCAATTACTATCATATTATAGAAGAGTGTATTTAATTTAGAGTTCTTATTCTTAACATTATATTTATATACTTTTGCCTAACACTTTATGGAACAACATTATTAACTACTAGCTGTGCCCGCGACTTCGCGTGGAATAGTGACTTGGGGTAGAATTTGTAATTTAGGCTGTTTATTAATTTTTGTAAGGGCGCATTTAAGGCAGCCATGCTATGTTGTACCTAAGTGCTACTTTGCCGCAACACTCTCACCTCATATCACTCCTACTCTAACTCCCACTCTCATTCCTACACTCACTCTCACTCCCACCTCCACTCACAAATATTACCAAAAAGCCAAAGAAGAAAGTTTCATTGTTCTAGCTTCAAAAACCACGATTTTCCATACAAACTTTCATCCCTATCAACCCTTATATGGCATTGAAAAGCCTTTTTATTGCCTATATCCTTTCTCAGGCCTTAAAATATATATGTACCAAATTTCATTTAAATTAGTTCAGTAGTTTCGGAGTTAAAGCGGGACAAACAGACAGAGTTACTTTCGCATTTATAATATTATTAAAATCTATAATTTATTTAAATAAAAATTTATAAATGGTATAGATAACACGGTTTGATTTTATTTGGCATTTCTATAAATTTTTTAAAAGTAAAAAAGTAGTTATAGTGACGTAACTACAATAGTTAGACATATGCTCTCGCGATGTTTTTTGTAGATATTGATATATTCTATTTTGTGAACATTTTTTTGTCCTCCCCTTAAAAAAACCCCCCCCCGCGGGTGCGGAAAAAAAAAATTTTTTGGTGTTTTTTTTCCCCCCCCCCCCCCCTTTTTTTAGTTTTTTTTCCCCTACCCCCCCCCAAAATAATCCCCCAATTTTCCCCCCCTTATTTTTTTTCCTTTTTTTAAAAAAAAAAAAAAAAAAACCCCCCCCCCCCCCCCTTTTTTTTTTTTTTCCCCCCCAAACAAAAATTTTCCCCCCTTTTTTTTTTTTTCCCCCCCCCCCCCCCCCCCCCCCCCCCCCCCCCCCCCCCCCCCCCCCCCCCCCCCCCCTCCTTTTCTCCTTTTATATATATATCCCCCCCCCCCCTTTTTTTTTTTTTTTTTTTTTTATTTTTTTTTTTTTTTTTTTTTTTTTTTTTTTTTCCCCCCCCCCCCCCCCCCCCCCCCCCCCCCCACAAAAAAAAAAACCCCCCCCCCCCCCCCCCCCCCCCCCCCCCCCCCCCCCCCCCCCCCCCCCCCCCCCCCCCCATTATTTTACATAAAAACAATAGATTTACTCTTTGAACTGATTTAATCATGTACAAGATTAGGTAACTCTAACAATATTAAATTGCCTACAATAACATACCTCATCTTCTGTAACGGCTTCAGTACTTTGTTCAGCATCTACCACAACAGGAGAAATACTACAACACCTGTTAGTCATCGGTATTTCACTCCTCAATGTATTTCTTCTAAACCTTGGTGCCAATACCTCCTCAACATCTTTTTCCTTGCATTTGAGTTCATCTTTTCTCGGATAACTGTAAAATCTACGCTGGAACCTATTCATTTTGACGCCTAAACAGTATTTATAATCAGGAATTTATTTTTCTACATTTTGAATTAGGGTGACAGGATTTCTTAATCATAATGTTGTATCATGCTACAGGTAATATTTATTACAAAAATAATATAGTCTTTTAAGGAGGTCCCACTTAGTAGACGTATTATTCTATTGCTACATTTGGCTAGTTTGTTACATAACTAACAAAGAAAATAGGTTGACAATTAGTTCAATCTTGTTGAGATTTATATGGCTGGAGTATTTAACCTTCTTCAAGTTTTCATCTTCTGTCCTCCTATTATATAAAAAATAAATGATGTAGGTAGACATGATGCGCTAACCCCTTTTTTGGCTTTGAATCCATTTTAGCCAAACGACTTTTTTTACTTCCACCTTTTCCATACCATACATTGCTACCAGCTAGACTAAATAAAATACCACGAACATCGGAATTGTTTATTGTCACTCATCGTAAATTTGAAAACTATCGCACAGAGCTAGATGATCTTGTTTCGTGGGTTATATACGATAGTGTTAGAATGGTGCGGATCATTTGAATTGGTTATAGTTAGGATGGTTAGGAGAACTCTCTCGCAACGCGGGAGGCATGTCACAACTGCCATGGAGCGTTTCGGACTGAATATCTTTTGGACAGCGCGACCGTCGACCTGCAACTGGAATGGAAATTAAATCTATAATAATATATAAAGCGAAAAGATTTTTTTTGAACGCGCTAACGTCAGGAACTACTGGTTGGAATTGAAAAACTGTATTTGTGTTGGGTACATCATTTATCTAATAAGACTATATACGCTCTGTCTTATAGAAGCCGAGAAACAGTGGGAAATTTGGAAAAACAAAAATTATTAATCTCTGTGGGTTTCCGATGCGTACGCTGCGAAAACGGTTAAAGTTACCCCAAAAATATGTATGAAGGAGTGATTCCTCTCTAAATAACCTATAAAATGTCCGCTACACTATATGTCCATCTTTTAACATTAACTTTCAAAAATGACATCGTGGGTAACAGCTTGAAAGATGAAGAGAAGGTTTGTTAAAACAGATATGGATGCCCAAAATAATAAAAAAAGAAACTTCAAATCAAAATATTACTTAAATCGTTATTCTTACTTCGTATCCACGGACGTGAGAAATATTCTGCGGAATGTGCCATTTAACAAGAACTGTGTGATCGGATATTCTCCTGAGTTCAGAAAAGCTGGCTTTCAAAGTAGTGTTGTTCTGACTTCTAACACTTCTTTCCTGGAAAACGTTTTATTCGATTTCGCATAAGATGTCGAATTAGACAACTATAAATGAAATTTGGTATACCTCATAAAAAGACAAATTAGGTGTAGACATAACATTTTCACGTCGTTGCAATTCTGATTTGAGTACAACCGTAGAAACCAATTTATTTAAGAATTTTTTAATGTTTGTAAACAGTTTCTCCTCCTAGAACATTTTGAAAATACATTCTCTAACGGATCACCGATACTACATTTTACTTCGTGTGTAGAGCAATTACCAAACAGTTCCTTTTGGTTGCTATGTCTGCTTCATGGCATTCGTTCCGGCCACAGTCTCTCCGCATTTCATCAGAAATTATTCCAATAACTTCTTTTAATTCAAATTCAAGGGGTATTTTACCTTGAAGTAAAAGATTTTCTATATCGTTTTTTAAGTAGGTATTTTTCCGTAAAATATTCCATGGTTCTTCTTTCTCGTTTCTTGGGACCTGGTTTAAATAAAAAAGTTAAGCAATGTGAAATCGTATATCTCATGAGCAATTACAAAAAATAAATATTTACCGTTGACATTACTACTGAAGCCGTATTTTCAGTTTTGTTGTAAACTATACCTGCCTGGTTAGTGTCGGTTACTGCGTCTTTATAAAAATCTGCGTCTTTAAATATTGTAATTATAGTATTTAACTCTTCGTCCTTTTGTGGTTTGGAAATATTCTCCATGCTTACAGCTTTATCAGATACGATTTTATAAGAAAATTCAATATTTGTGGTTATATTGCTCTTCAACCTTTGAAGTTTTTGTGTCGAAATCAGTTGTTTCAGAGCCGTTTTAGAACTTTTTATTACATGTCTTTTTTTATTCACATGCTTTATTGGCGTTCCGGTAAGGTTAATTTTAGCATTAACTTCTTTAGGCTGCCGTGAAACAGTCATATCGTCGAACACATCTTCATATCTTTGAACGTTAACATTTTTATATGATTCAATGCATTCGACATTCTCTAACAAATTGTGGCTACCGAAAATTGGTTTTAAACTTGTTTCGTCTGTATTCGAAGACTTTGATGTTGCTATCGAAGCATTGAGAATACTGGATAATATATCTGTATCTTCTGAAAGTGGCTCTGTATCACCAACACAGCATGGCTTATTTGGCTCAACGTTTTTTCTACAACATACATTGTACGAAAATTCGCAGTTGTCATTAAAATAATTATCGTATAAGAATTTAAGTCTTTGCGAAACGCTTTTAAAATTACTATTAGCAGTTTCGTATGTTTGTAGCGTAGTTTTTAGTTTGTTTGAAAAATCTTGAGCTTCGCGTATTGTGGCCTGAATTTTATCATAGTCAAATGAAGTTTTGGAAATGTTGACCGATTTTTGGTTCTCATCATACAGAGCGTTGAAGTATTTAAACGTTGACGATCGTATGAAGTAATTGTTTTGAAAATTTAGAAAATCTGAATCCAAGCTTTTATCAAGACGCTCGGGATCGTCATTTTCATTTTCACCGTCCTTTTGAAGCAACACTGCATTTGACGGATCGCTAAAGAGGGAAAACTCCTTTAATAAAGATGCTACATAGTACAATTTTCTGCGATTAGCTGAAGATAAGTCTGTGTCTGCTTTGTGTAATTTAGTATCAAAATTTCTGTTTAAAATCAAAGTCGAACTTGCAGCATATGCTCTAGATTCTGAAGATTCAGTAGTGCTCAATATTTTTTTAGTTTTTAAGCTATTTTTGCTTGTTTGTGAAAGTGTGCGATGGTCATGTTCGTTATTTTCTTCGTTTTTATTCTCTTTATGTGCTTGTGAACTATGATCGTTGTTAGCTATTCGTTGTGTAATACCACCTACATTCGCATCAACTATAATATTTTCAATATCCTTATAGTTTGAAAAGTCGTAAGAATCAAATTCATTGCAGCATTCTATAATTAACTTTCGTAATGAATGTGTTTTAGGAGACTCCAGTGCTGAATTTTTATTGTATTCACAGTCTAAGCAATCACAAGTGCTACAACTGCATTCACTAGATTTGTGTCCATGGATTACTTTGTCTACGTAGCACTTGCATGGATTATTTCGACTCATTTTATTTGGCAAAAAGAATATTGGGTATTGTGGTTTCGACATCTCTTTTGCGCAATGGCACACGTCAACTGCCACACTAAAATTCTGTTGTATACTATTACTCATGGGTAAATCATATTTGATATTTTTTTGTGTTTGCTTAGTTGGTGTACGTCCTTCTATTACAACATTACGAATATCGTAATCTTGGTGTTCTCTTCGAAAGGGTTTATTCATAATGCCTTTCTGAATCTCACACCTACAATTGGCTCTGTCCGTTTGACACGAATCATTTAAGCAATTCGCGCAAGGGCAGATTGAGTGATTCACAGTTCCAGTGGATCGCTCCTGTAATGCTCCTGCTGTGCCATAGTTCGGAACGCAATTAGCACATTCACAGGGAGCTTCGCAATCGCAGGTGTTGCCATGCGTAGTTTGATCAACAGAAGCTACGATAAAATTCCTCGACAAACGTGCAGCCTTTGTTCTACAATCTAAACATTTGCATGGTTCACAATCGCACAGTGTCGAAAATGATTCGGAACATTTAAGACACTCGCAAGGCTTACAGGAACATTTTTGCTTGACAGCACTTTTCCTGACGATACCGCGACAGTCTTTTCTGTCGCAGCGTATACATGGACATCCAGAATGTGGTTTTTCTTTTATGTTGTTTCCGTAGTATCTATTTAAAAGCTTGCATTCACTGCATTCGCAGGGCTTACAGCTGCAAGTGTCTTTAGGATTAAATAATGATTTAATGGGAATACATTCGCAAACTTTACAGCTACACGCTTTATATATATCTCTCAATTTAGATAAAATATCTTGTTTTGCCGTCTTTAATTCTGTGAGAGAGTCTTTGTAGCGGGCGTTTTTAATTATAGACTCGTTTAAATCGGGCAAGGCTACGTCCATGACTTGCGCACTTAATTGCGCAGTAGTGTCACTTATGTTTTTCAAGGGTATCATAGGTTCATTTCGTATATTATTTTGGGACTCGGCTATTGAAATACAGTCACTGTATTCAGATTCTATTGAATCATTCGTATATTTCAGGTTCTTGTGCTCACTTACTTCGTTTTGAAATTCAACATTTCTATTGACACGGTTTACTGTTGTTTTGGGAATGTCTTTTCTTTCTGGATCTATGCCACAGTTCTGAAGACATAATTTTGATGTTTGGCTACAAGTGCAGGTTTTATTCTGTTTACTGTGTCTGATACTGAAACACTTTAAGGAATCGCATTCAGGGCATGAGCAATTAGACAAGATTTGATTGACCTCTTTATCGTGCATGTTATGTTGTGATTCCAGTGCTATATCGACTCTAAAGCGCCGGTTACTTTCAATTTCGTTTAAAAAGTTTTCCAACATTATGGTTTCGATTGGGTGCTCGAGTTAGAGGAACCGCAGCTCTTTTTGCATAGACTTGTAGTTCGAATGACCTGAAAATAAGTCACAATTATGTTTTCTTTGCACTTCAGAAGAAGAAATACATAATATACTAATAATTTTACACTATTCTAAATAATTGCTAATGGGCTTAATTACCAGATTGGGATTTTGTCTTATTTGCGTTCTGAATGAAACATTTTTTAAAGTAAAAGTTTTGTGTCTTGAAATATTACATCTTATTAGTTATTTCGATTTATTGTCTGACATTTTCAGATATACGAATTTTATTTTTATTTTAAAAAAGTCAGTTATGACAGATGCGTACTAAGAACTTCTGAAATGTTGAGGTGGTCTATCCTAAGTTATTGCTACCAACAGACTTTAATTTTTATATCTACGCACTATCTACATGAACCACAATATACATTTGAACTCTTTATTAGGTACGTAAAATGAAACGAATAGTTTAAAATTATATATTTATTGAATCCATCCAAATGTCATTTGTTAAATAAAATACGATACACTTATCTCAAACTGATTGCTGATTTAATACAAATGGTCGATATTGATATTAAGTTATTATTTACAAGAAAAAAATCGAAACACAATTGGCACGGGAAGAAACTAATTTGATTAGAAATGGACCAAAAAGGTTCGTTTTGTTCGATACGCTCGTTTAATTGTTATTCACTATTTAGGTTATAATGTAGGGTACCTAAATGTTATATAATACAAAGTATATACAGGCTTAAGTCTAGACTAAAGAAGGCACCAGTGTGAGGTCGGTGGAGGTCACATCTGAAAAAAATATAATTTCATTTATAAAATAATTTCAAAAACAATATCCAAAAAGCGAAATTATAATAAAATCAGATAATATTAATATTTATAAATCCCTACATTTTTACTATTATTATTCTACTTACATAAAAAATATGCATGATATCGGCACTAGACGTCCGTGCTCCAAACTATCGCGTTTGTACCCAGCGCACAAGATGGACAATTCTGAAATGTTAATGAATTTGTTATTTTTATGGAGCGTAGTTTAAATTTAAATTATAACAAATTTAAAAATACTTACAACTATACTCTCGATCGCGTTCGCTAGCTGTTCTTCCATTATTTTAACATCGCCGTGTTCCAGGACTTCCTGAAAATTACCGGAAAAAATCTTATATACAAAACCTAGTAGGGTAATACATAGCTTTAAAATTATTGTAATTATTCCGAAGAACAACTATGTTAAGATTATGACAATGAAAATAATCTTACTTCCTGACATATCTTGACAGCGGGGGCGAGGTGTGGTGCGGCAGCGCAAAGGCTGGCAGCCGCGCATGCGCAACTAACACTAGCCAATCGCGCAGCACCACGCACTACACCTGCATTACCACACCAGCGACTCTCCGCGTCTTTGCCACTGTACGGCACTGAGTATGTCATTGATGATACAGCTCGCTGCCATTCCTATAAATTCGTTTACGTATAAAAAATATCAAATCGTTTGCATTGTTAAAATAACACCTTTAGTCATAAAATAATGTAATTACATAGGCGTAGTTAATAGTATTTATAGAGAAAATATTAAAACAGCCGACGAACAGCAAAATAGTGTTTGCACCATTTTTGCCACATGAATAATTTAGTATTAATGATGAGAAGTTTTTACAGTATCAACAAAATATATGACCTGATATATTTGAGGTTAACAAAAATGTCGTCCTAAATTGAAAGGTAATTTTAATGTTAAGGTTGTCCCGAAACCACAGTTAGGATGATATAAATGTTAACGCAGCTCTATATTAGTCACAAAAAGCGAACTCACCTCGGTATCAGTCTTCGCGTCCGCGTCACCAATAGACCTAATGAGTTCCTTGGATATCGCCATTAGGAGATAGTTTGTGATCTTCGACTTGGTGTCTTCAGTCACTTCGCCCTTATTCGGAACGATCTCTTTGCACAGTTTGTTCAGATCATCGTCCACTGAGTTATGTATTCTATCGAACAGGTCTTCTATCAATTGGCTAACCAGCTGGCTCCTCATGGATGGACAAGAGCAACGTGCCTCCGAGGTTATGTAGCTCATGCTGTGGTGCATCCTGCCAAAATCGCTCTTTGGTACTGAATTGTATATTGAATAGCCCTCGTCTACGTATTCCGTTCTATCCGGCTTCATGTCGACCCTGGACTGATACGTCTGTCTCATTGACTCGCTCCTCATCTCTTCCAACTCCTCAGTCTTAATCGACAATTCGTGGCTCATCGTTTTTAATTTCTCGTCGCATTTGCGTTTGCACTGATTCAATGCTTTCTGCGTTAGCGCTAACTGCTTTTCGAGAGATTCCACCTGAGAAAATACATCCTCTTAGATGGTGACTTGTTTTCCATGCAACATACACATCACTGAACATGCACTGTCTTCGTGTGGCGGGCGGAATAGACGTGAAATCAAGCGAACATGCAACATTTATGAAGCCGTATATAACCGTGCAGTTAATAAGCTGTGAAATATTGTTTTACAGCCAGTTTCTGATTGGGCAAAATATTTCGTTGAGAGATCCGGTCTTAACCTGTTTACTGTCCAATGGGGTTCTTAAATCCGTAGAAAATTTAAATTATCCCTCAACTCAAGTGAATCTATTTTAGATTTTACAAATTTGATGACACGGGTGGGACCATAATATATAATGCCAAATTTTTCAAAGTTATTGACAAGATCAAAGAGATTTGGCAAATCAGAAATTGGTTGAAAAGAGAGTGTTTGTGCAGTTCTGTGAAGTATTATTTAATTTAAATGTATCAGATCGCAGAAAAGAATAATTTGTTTACTAAGAATTGAATAGGTACTTCCTACATAACTATTCTGCCTACACACTACTACACTAAAGCAAATGGAATACATTAATTGATTACCCCCACCTCACAACCAACCAAGCAAAAAAGTAAACCAAAATACCTCTTCCTTCAACTCGCTGTTTGTGACTTCTAACTCTTGATTGTTCTTGCACGCTCTTGACAGTTCCTTCCTGATGCAGTCCAAATCTCCCATAAACGTGACTTCGGTCTTTTTAGATACTTCGCGATGACTCTTCAGATCCTCGTCCAATTGCTTGTTAATTTTACGGAGGTGTTCGACTTCCTTCTGCAAAAAACTTTTTATGTAATCTCACCATAGTACATGGTCTATGGTCTTTGGTCTCTTGGGATCCTTGTCACATTATTGTGGTATATGAACCTTCAAATACGAATACTATATATAATACTGAAATAATATTTACCTTAAATTTAGTCTCTAATGTTCTAAAGGTCGTCTCAGCCTTTTTAGCCTCAACATCAGCCTTTCCAAACATCATAGTGAGCTGGTTGTTCTGGGTCTTGAGGGCTATAGCGTCCCTCTCCGCCTTTTCCAACGCTATCCGCATACCAGACTCCGACTCTTCTATCTCCCTTAGTTTCTTCTTTAATGGCTCTATGCATTTCTTCCATTGATCGCGCTCTGACTCTAACTTCTTGACCTGTAAAGCCAAGTAGTCAAAAATATAATATACATAAACAGAAATAAATTTACAGGCACTAAAACTAAAAATGTTAAAAATAATGTTTACATGCGTACGATTAATTAATACAAGACTGGCCATTCAAATAATATAATTTATTATAATGATAAAAATAATGCCTTTAGCGTTTTAGCTAATTTTAATTTAAGGCAGAGCTTCATGTATTGTATATTAACCCTCAATTTTAGTTCTTACCTTTCCTTTCAATTGACTCTCGGTGACTTGCGACTCTTCAATCTTCTTCTTATAACCACCCTCCATCTCAGCCCACATATCGTCTGCTTGGGACAGCATCTCCAAATACGCTGCCTCTCGCCTCTCCAATTCAGACACGCGGTTCTTCAACTCCTGTTCACTTAGCTGCAGTGCTCTAATTTTGCTGCTCGTAACAGGATCCGCTGGGAGCTAAAATATTTAAATAACAACTTTTACACTCTTCCAAAATTATAAGGGTTTGAGTGGAACATTCATACATAAACAGGAATTTAAGCCAAAAGTGCTTCTTAATATTCGAAATCAGGAAGTGAGATAACCAGTTCTATAATATATTTTTAGGTCCGAAAAATTAATTATAAAGAGTCAAATCCAGGACGGTTTAAAGTTACCTTTTCATCATCTTTCTCCTTCCTTATCTTTTGTTCTATCTCTTCTATCTTCTCCTCAATCCTATCCTTTTTAACGTAAGCACCATTCTCAGCAGCTGCGATCTGCCGCCTTGCTGTCTCAAGCTCTTGTTCCAGCTTCTTTATTTTTGCTTCAAGACTTTTTCTCACCTGTCCTGTTTGTTGTTCTATCTCTTTCTTCTCAGATAATAATCTGTAAGTACAATTTTATTTACCATGATTAACTTAGGAAAAACTGAGACTACAGGGAATTGCCAATAACGTTTTTAATTAAGGATATATTTTTAGATTTATTCTTTAAAATGTATTAATGGCCTATTTATAACATATACAATAAATTGGTCTATTCAACCAATTTATTAACACACTATGCATCTATATAAGCATGATAACATATAAGCTATCTTTATGGCCTTTTTGACTAGTAAAACCTCTTTATTAGAAGCAGATTAACAACCGACTTACTCTGTAAACCGTAATATTTTTTTTCAGAACCATTTTACATTAGGTGTCTTACTTTGTAACTTGTTGCTCCAACTGTCTGATATTGCTGCTAGTGAATACAACCACGCTGCACGGTTTCTCTTCCACTCTTCGCATCTGCTTTATTGTGGCAATTGCGGACTTTGTATCATGGTCGAATGGACCCATACGGCTGATAAGTGCCCGCTGAAATATTAAACATGTATCCATGAAATTTTAAAATCTCCCATGAAAGATATCTTAATGCGTTTATTAAATGAATATAAAAATAATAATTTTGACAGGCTCTTTGGTTGGATCCCCACTGGGCCCAACATGTTCCTCAATTAAAAAAAACATCTGAAACAAGCTTGACTTCGTCTGGAAATATGGATATTAAAAGGGTCACGAACCACCGTCCACAGATGACAAAGCCGTGAAGTGAAATCGCATTTCGGTTTGTGGATTCCCGAATATCTAAAGTCAATATAGGTCGGACAGCGCATTACTGTAGATGTTATATGGGTGGGGTCCTACTCTATCATTAAAAAAAAGTATCAAAAAATACCTGGCCCGCCATGTTGAGAGTAGCACCGATGGCTCGAATAACGTTCCATGTTATCAGGGCAGGCACTGCTCGCTCCAAGCTGGTTAACCTCGATGAAATCTCGGTCTATAATAAAAAAATATGTAGATATTCTGTATCTCGCGCTAAACGCAATGCGTTGAACAAATATTAAATAGTTAAAAATCTATTATAGATTGAAACACAGAACGCTGGGGATGCCGGTTCGAGTTCTGCCCGTGTCGAAACACTTTTTTCAATCTATAATCGAAGTTAAGGTTATATGGTGCCTTCATGTGCAACATGTTTTTTTTTTATTGATACTTATGACACTAACCTCTCTGGCCTGTAGCGCACACTCTCGTTCGCTGAGCTCCTGCACCATCCGCTCGGCCTGCGCCCTGGAAAATTCCCGCTGCTCCGTCATATCGCGTAGTTGTGCCGTACAAAGCTCGTAGTCCATTTCCAACCTAAAATCATTTCAAAATTTAACGTATAAACTTTATCTTAACATATTACTCTTCGAACATATAGAGCCAAAATAGACTAGGGAATATAACCTACCATCAAGTGAACTGTATGCTTGTCTATTCTCCTCTATTTTACAATAAAAAAATCTTGTCCCAAACGTTATACAAAGAAAATAAAGACAAGAGGTTTAAAAACTACTGATTTTGACTGTAAATACTTGTACAGTTTGATTCGTAAATATTTTCTTTATGATTGTTTCATACAAATTAATTGCGCAAGAGATGTTGTGAAAATGTATTGAACAATCTCGATGAGGTCGAGGGAAACACGATTTATTTATTTTTTCAATTAAACATTTAAAAATACTCACTGTTGCCAATATAAACGGGTATCATTCTCTATTTCCTCTAACTCACAGCATTCTTCTTCGAGCCTTTGGTTCTTGTCTTGAAGTTCAACTAACTGCGACTCTAGATCCTGTAATATTGAAACATTTCTATTATTTATCTGGCCCTCTATAATTATTTTACATATGTAATACATTTTTTGATAGATAATTATCCTGCACCCATATTTTGTAACTGGTAGCAGATGTAGTCTTCCGTTTTTTTTTAATAAAACCTATTGGAGATTTCTCTATAGTACGTCATTTGTTTATATTCAATGTTAACTCACGTGTATTCTATTCTCAAGCAAAAACTCCTTTTGCAAACGTTGCGCCAATTTCGACTCCTTGACGTCTTGTGCCGCTTCGTATATCGAGATCTTCCCCTCCAAGAACTTCAGCCTCCTCTCGTAATACTGCTTGTGTTTCTTCCCTAACTTCACACACTTACACTCTAAACAATCTTCGTTACTAAGCGTCCTATTTCTACTTTGCCTCTCTAATTTCTCCCTTATACTATTCAGTCGTTGTATTTCGGTGTTCAATTCACCGGAGCATTCGAAGCTATCGTTGAGGTCGGTCTGAGTCTCTTTGGTCTCAGTTTCGACTCCCTCGAATATACCGCTCTCTTGCAATATGTTATTTGGTTTCCTCTCCTCACAAAGGCTGTCTAGTGATTCGGATTTACCCTTCTGTTGGTACGGTGTGACAGTCGCGATGGCCTTTTGTGTTTTGTGCGATAGAATGTCAGTTTCCGAACGTAATCTTAAATCACATATTTTCTTCGGTTTACCCTGTTATATGGAGAAATAAATCATGTTAGTTGATTGGGAATTAATTCGGCATGGTGGTGTTGATAGACAAATTGATGTTACTGTCAAGTAGTGTCATTATGTTCAATTGACAGTTTAATAAATAATAATAAAGAAGTTAAGCTTTTATATGTTTAAAACTCACCTGATAGCATTCATCTTCGCTAACAGAACTACTAAGCGCCTGATAGTTGTACAACATCATCAGAACTTGCTCCAAACAGCTTCTGTCTTCCGCCGACGCCGCATTCAAGATCATTTGTTCTAGATGTTCCTTCACTGGATTACTCTTCAAGGAATCACTGGTTTCGGAATTGCCATCCAAAATATCTGCCAAAACTTGCGCTTTGGCAAAGTCTTCTTTAAAATCGTCATGCGGCGTGTTCAGATGTCGTCGGGGGTTGCAGGGGCTGCTTGGAGTATGCGGGGATTTGTAGCCAGAATCCATTCGCTTCAGTTCTGGTGATGCCGAGTCCTTTATTCGGGAGCCAGGGGACACGCAGCCCGAATCCGAATCTGTTAGGTTGTCCCTAGCACCCTGCAAAATACATTTGAATATCAGAAAAGTGACGCAGTATGAAGATTTATTTATTCAACTGCATCCCTGACAAGATGCCCTCAATGCAGCTTCAATGCTTTCGTGCTAAATTTTTTTAACTACGAATATAGTTAGGAGTAGATCGACGTTCCTTGTCGTGAATCGTCGTTTGAGCTACAAAAGGCTAGAACGATTCATAAAAACTATTCTAATCTTAGCAAAGTGTATAAATAATGAGATTATTTGTTTAAACTTTGGCAACACTGGCGTGGGTTGTTGGCTACTTTTGGGCAGGAGCACTGCCTACTGCCGCTCCTATTTTAGCAACAGAAATATATTATGTGGTAACGCTCTATGCTAATTTAATAAACCGACATATTTGTTACACAAAGGCGTTCTCGTTAGATATAGATCAGCTATTACCGCAGTTGTGACTAACATAATCAAAAGCTTGCGGGCTCAAACCGTGAAATCATTTGAAATTTTGATATAACCAACCGAGGTAATTAACTAGCGGATCTAACTAGTGGTTTGTTATTGTGGTTTACTTTCAATAATTGAAGAAATTCGAGAGATATTGTGATACATCCGGAGCGTAAAAGTAGGTTACATGTTAAAATATGCGGCTCGCAAAATTGCTAGCGCTGATAGGAATTTAGACAAGCTGGCATTAACAACGACATTTGAACTCGACATCGTTACATAAACAAAATGGGTCAATACGATTTGCCGGCTTGTTAGAGAAGAGCAGATTGCCTCATATGGTTTCGCATTTGATGTGTGTGTCGCAGTGCGCTTCCAAGACCGACACAAATAGAATTTAATTGCTTACCGTCGGAAATAGGAAACGGTAGCAAAGTTCTGGTCGATGTGACGTCAAGAGATAAGAAACCTACTAAGTTCCTATTTTACGTCTTAAAAATACGGTACTAAAGTTACGTTTACAATACTCTATCTTGTAATGTTATTGGAGAATTTAACGGAGACATGTCTATAGTATTGAAATAAACAATAACATAATATGTACGTTATTTGTTATGACTGTTTCCGGCATTAGTGCATTGCTATATTTGCGAGCATTAGATTCTCTTAGAGACAGATTTCCTGACATTCGTTTACCTCTATTTTGTATTAAACATTCAATCATTCAACCAACAAGCAGCACTTTCATCTGCATACCAGAACCACCATTAGGAGTTAAGGATTGATAAAGGTCCATGTTTTTGTTAGCATTGTCCTCTATACACATGTTCTTAGTGTTATTTTACTATATTATATCAGAAAAACTCTCCACTTAACATACCGACCACGCTCGGACCTCACCCGATTGCGAATCGCTAAGAAAATCTAACGAAACATTCATTTGCCTGCCAACTTTTCCCTCGAGTAATGTTTGCACTGCAATCCTTAGTGAATACCAAACGCTTGCATAAAAGTACTTAAAAGTGTACTTTGATTTCCTTACAATTTTCAAACTACGTCTTTTACCAAATGTTTTTGAAACCGAATAGAATTAAACAAATGTTTTCATGTTAAGAAACATTACATTGAACCGCGCAGTACGTCGAGGTTTGTTGATTTAATAACGCAATAAAGAATAGGTTTAAGGAGATAACGCGGAGCCTTGACGCAATATCCTTTCCTTTCAATTGGAATCTCACATTCCAGTGACATAGTCTCCATTCTATTGTAAACATAGTCGGGTCACACCTTTATTTAGCATTATCACTTCGTTAGTATCTCGATAAGCCTTTGTAAACTAAGGTTCGCCATCATACTGTATGTTTTATATAATCATAATCTTTGTTAATTGTTTTATCAAATTTTCTCAGCTAGGAAGTTTACTAAGCTAATCAAATTTATGATTTGACAGAACAGATGACACAAAATTAAGACCAATTTTTCTTCTGCAATATGCTGGTTTTCAAACGACTTCTTACAATAAAGATAACAAGAAGTATACCCTTGTTATATTTTGTTTTAAAACTGTGACTTGTTCCCTCTAAAAAAACCTAGTCAACACAAAACGGACATCGGAGTCCAATGTACTGAGGTTTTCCAATCAACAATCAACCATTAACATACAAAATGACGCCGAAAATAATAACAATTATCAGTTCTTATGAGATACCTACATCACAAATTACAGTATTGTTATAAGTATATTTTATTTGGACTTTGAACATAATGCACACTTTGTATGGCGTACTCGTCCAAACAAAAACCCGGAACTGCTTTTCAGAAAATGATTTTAAAATCACGAAATTGAAAAAATTATATTATATGATTTCGTGACTTGCAATTGTCTCTTTAAATTTGAATTTTGTACTTACAATGTGTTATACGAATTCATAAGCGACTGCAAACACCAAAAAAATCGGAGTTACCGAGGCCCGGGCTATTTGCAATTCAATACAATAGCATTATAGGAACCGTAAAAGGCAATGAATTTGTAACAGGAAGCGTAGATGACGAAGTGGTATTAAGTTGAGTACGCACTATAATCTACCTACGATATACTATAGGATCAATTTTATATAATTTAAGTTTCCTAATATGTATTACCTTCTCCAACTTTTACAGATTAGAATTTTAATTTGTTCATTCAATCTATTGTGTACAGACAAATGCATGGAAATTACTTTATCCACATTTTACTGCGTAACGTGCAATTATTAGTGTTTGAAGTAATGTCTACGATTACGTTAATTAAATCGCAAAGTTTGCGTTAATAATGAGCATTTGGGACAAATATTACTTCACAGATACCTAAGTTTGTTTTCTGTTTTTTTTTATTTAATTGTCCTTTTAAATGTATATACACATTTAAGTAAGACTAGCTAATTCGGCAAACGCTGTTTTGTTGTTTGCAAGATTTTGTTGATACCACTCTAACAAATAATTGGTAAATACATTAATTTCTATTCTAATTACTTGGAAGTTAATCTTAAATGATAGACATAAATTGACGAGGAAATTTTTTAAGGCCACTTGAAGAGGAATCATTCTTTTACACATATTTTTTGGGTATCTCAAACCGTTTTCGCATCGCAAGCAAACAAAAGCCTTTATAAATGAATAATTCTTCCCTCATTTTTCACTGCTTCTTAGCTCTTAAAGGCCGCAGAATAATGTTATAAAGCCTACAACCTACCTCGATCTCCATCAAAAATTCAAACTAGTACTGCCTGAGATTAGTGCGTTCAAACAAACAAACATTTCAACTTTATAGAGTACTAGCTGTGCCCGCGAATACGTTCGCGTGGAACTTGGGGTAGATTTTTTATTTTTTTAGGCTGTTTATTAATTTATGTAATTGCGCATTTATCGCAGCCAATCTATGTTGTAAGTGCTACTTTGCCGCAACACTCTCACCTCACATCACTCCTACTATAACTCCCACTCCCACTATCATTCCCAAAAAGCCAAAAAAGAAAGTTTCATTGTTCTAGCTTCAAAAACCACGAATTTCCATACAAACATTTTTTTTAACCTTTAACCTCTCACAACGCCCTTTTCGCAATATATAGTAGCCTTTCTCAAAGTCTAGACCATTTGTGCACCAAATTTCATTCAAATCCGTTCAGTAGTTTTGGCGTGAAAGAGTAACAGACAGACAGACAGAGTTACTGTCGCATGTATAGTATTAGTAAGGATATGATAGATTTCATAATACGTAAAGAAAAACTGTATATTCGTAACAGTACACTGACTATTCATATCGTATATATTGGACCTAAGTCGTTGAATCCACTTCCTGTATAAAGGAAGGAAGCTTCTTTGAAATAACTGTCTAACCATCTAGGCGACAAACTATCGCTGTATATGCTATATTTACGTCATAATAAAAAAGTTGCTTCCTAATACTTAAACGGTTCATCTTCAGCCCTTAAACAGATTCTAATATATGGACTTGGACCTGTTCTGAAGCTCCAAGACTTTACCTTGACCATTCGCAGACCCGGGTAAGTTTTCGTAATGATTTACAATAGCGGTTCGATCTCGCATTATGTACTCCAGTACATAATAAGAAAATGTTAGGACTGCAATATATTATTTCTAATTTAAGAAAAGACTATAACAAATATGACCAACTTCAAACCATAGAGATTCAGTGACCTTTTATAGAGTGTAGTTGATGACATATGATACATAAACCACTTGTATGGCGGCCATATTTTGTTATTTTTGACGTCATTATTATTTAATTCAATGTTTCGAATGCTTTGTAGCGATGGTGCATGAGTGAGACTTCTTTCTCCCATTACCGTTGATTTTGCTGACATCTCAGCCCTATGTTGATGTCAAATTTACGTTATTTCATTTATGGGATTTTTATTAATTTTACATAAAATTGTGGTTTCTAGGTGGATTTGAGGTAGTTTCATTAGTTTAATATTTTTTACAGTAAAACAATGTAAATCTTGTGAGAAATTTACGATTGGATGTAAATTGTGTGTTTACTAAAATGTCAAGTTAGATAAAATACACTATATGTATATACGACCAGTATTTCTTCCACAATGGCGAGTACTAAAGCCTTGAAATATTGTTATCTTTAGTTTTATATTGTTAAAGCGGTTCGTTTGTTTGAACGTAGTACAAGTATGGGCTTATAATATCCAAATTATCTTAAGATATAAGTGTTGACTGACGCGCTGTATGATGATCTAATGCAAAACTACTCGTATACATTATAGTTTATAATTATCAACGTTATTCCAATACGTTCATAACGTATTTGCTATTCAAATCACCTTGCTACATCAGTAACGCAAGTTTTCCTATACATATCATTGTTTACACAATCTATTAGATTGCGTAGATCGGTGATAACTCAGTAAAACCATACGACATCGCATTACTTGGTTATAAATAATTTATTGATTTCTTGCAAAAAAACTTTTCACGTAATTATCATAACGTTTGAAAATAAAGTATTTATAAGGCTTTATATCTATAAGAATTAATTCATAAGTGTACCTAAATGATTATTAAATGGCAATTTTTCAAGTGTCGTGTTTCTTCATAAAGCCATATAAGTGTCGTACTGTAATTTAAAATAAAACCGTAAAGGTGATTCTATTTTTTACACTATTTTTAATCAAAATGTCTATATTTAATCACACCTAATTATTTTTTTGCGTTCCTTTAATGACGTATAGTAAATGAACAATTTCAGGGTGTCGTCTACCAAAATATTTTTTTAAGAAATATAATGTGATAAAAGAACATTTTCGAGATTTAACATAATCGGGGTCCGTTTAATTAAGATTTTTTTTATTTGATTTATTTATGATATTATTCACGATTCGTTCCGTTTTCATTAAATATCCTCTGTTTATAGTATAGTATATAGTTTATCATAAAATTTATAATCTGTTAACTAATTACCTCATCACCATCATCACTCAATCCGATCATCGCGCACACTTCACTGGACACACTTAAACAATTTACAGTTATCACTTAAATCGATAAAGTTGCCACTACCTTCTCGGGGTTCGCGTCTTCGAGCTCGAGGAGTCTGAACTCCATCAACTCGAGCTGGTCGCGCGCATCTCGCAGGGCGTCGGACAGTCGCGTGCATTCGCGCGCTGCGCTGGCCGCGCGCTCTGCTGAACTGCGGCACTGCCCGCATGACTGTAAAGACACCGCGCGTTAGTGGGACCTTGGGACTTTGTGAAAGGGCTTCGGTACTTAGCGTGCGATTAGAATTAATCGCTTGACACGTTCAGATACAATAGGGATGTTGACTGTGATCAAAAGTAATTAGAAAAAATATTTTACTCAATTAGGAATAAAAATAATTACTTTTCATGTGTTTTTGTTTCACCCAGGGGTTCGCCGCAGCACTTATAAAATTTGAAAAAAATTGGTAACTCAACTAACAGTTTACTCGATCTCAAGAAGCGGTGGCGTCATTAGGTCACGGTAATAAGATGTTCAAAACTTACGTTTCAATTGGTGTATAGCACGAATATGGTCAATAGATTATTTCTTAATATGTATATTATTTAAATACTGTCTATAGTTTACGCGAGTAGTACACATTTAAATAAAACACTTTAACGGTTTAAAACGCGATATATTAGTTAAACTTATTTGAAAATGATTTTTAACTTTACGTTTCGGATGCTTTGCAGAGCCGTGTTCGGATCTGCTACAAAGCATCCGAAACGTCGGGGCGAAGTTAAAAGTAAAAGTGTTTTATTTAAATTGTCTGTAGTTTACGCGAATCGTACTCATTTAAATAATTCATTTTTAATGTAAACGCGAAAGATATTAGTGAACTTATTTCATTGTAATTAGTCCATAGTTTTAGATGCTTTCAAGACAGCAGCAGACAGAACTCACGACGGAACTGAAGATGGAGTGTGTCCCTAATGTCAAAGTTAAATCTACTACGCTAGCGCCACCTGTTAGCTAATAACTATAAGTTACAAACAGGCTAAGTAGGTGGACCTTTCTAACTTTATAAGGCATGTATTAAGATTTAAATGCCTCCGCAGAGCCGTGCCACATTGGTTCATAATTGCTCCACAGCCTGATTCCGTTAATCTGCTTGGTCACCCTACAAAACAATAGAACATGACGAAAGGAACGGCGCCTTAAGTGACAAGATGTTTGTATTGCAAAAGCGTGACATTTTACGAGCGGTGAACGATTCTCCCATGATAATTCAAGGCCGGTCTGAATTCCTTGTTCACTCATTAGTAGGTACCTACTACATTTGAAATCAATAACGTATCTTAATTTGTTGATACATCAACAAAGCAGCAAATTAGATACTGGCAAAGATATTGGTCTACTTTTAAATGAAACAATTTTAACGGTTTAAAACAAGAAATGTTTTAAAAACAAAATATATATAAGGCGATGTGGTACACGAAAGTAATTAAAACATTTTGCATTAAGTTTTTGTTTATTGGGTACCAATTGTGTAACATAGAGACAATACTAAATTCATTAATCTAAGTCGCTTGGCTAATAAAAAGTCTACGATTGATTTAAACAATTTTCACGTTTCTGAAGTTTATTAGAGATCTTACTAGCTTCAAAATAGTATAAGAGTACATTTTGCACACTAAAGCAAGGATATGTCACTAGTATTAAATATGGCTAAAGAATTCGCTGTATCACGGTAACATTACAGAACAAAAGTGACATATACTTTAGTCATACTGTAATAAAGATGACTTTTTGTAGTTCCACTAGATATTAGATTGCAGTGACTATTAATAGTGGAACAAAAAAGAAAGAGGTATCCTTATTATATTCTAATTAAAAGTTAATGTTACAAAAAGCACGATTTAATGCTTTCATATCTATCTTTGTATAAATAATAATCAAAATTTTACATTAGGTACCGAAAACTTTGAATAATGATTTATTTAATTTAGAAGGTAAAAACAAATTTACCAATAAATAAAAAATACGGATTGCAAAATGGATGCAAGGACAGAATTCGAACCTACGACCAAACAGAGACCGTATCTACGTTCTATCAACTTGCCATTGTATTGTATTTGTTTTGTTTTTTCAGAGAAGGTTTCATGTGAATTAAAAGTTAAAACTTGAAAAAAAAGTCCGGGGTCAAAATTTTTTGGGTTTTGAAAAAAAAAAAAAAAAAAAATTTTTTTTTTTTTTTTTTTTTTTTTTTTTTTTTTTTGAATCCCACATTACTTTTTTTAAAAATAAATTAGTCTCGCAAATTTTTACAATACGTAGATTTAAAGTTTCGGTTGGGGTCTCCTTTTTTTTTGTTTAACTGAACTCATTAAAATATGTAGATTTAATTCTGTCCGACTCATTTCTGCCACACGATCAAAACTAACGTAACAATTTATGTTATACACCCATTACTGTATCATTTCTCACGAGGTGAAGGCAAATCAAATTAACTTTAACCTTCTTAACTAGACAATACGAGATATATCTTATCGATCTTTATGGACCACTAATTGATAGTTGGTGATGTTATGCTATTTTTAGTATTATGTGCTTATGGTATCATTTCATTAAGGTTCGCTAACTACTTATTAGAACATAATATAAATGATAATAAAAATTGACTCCCTTCATCAGTTACTTTTCAGTCAGAACTCGAACGAAATTAACATAATTACTACCCCAAGAAGTGAACACCCGTTCCGCGAGTAGTACACATTTACATAAAACACTTCAACGCTTTAAAACGCGAAATACTAATTACGACAGAATAGATGGCGCTAGCGGAGCAGTTTTTACTTTGACATTAGAGACACCCTCCATTTTTAGTCACCCCGTGACCGCGGCTGCTTCAAAGTTTAAGAAATAAAAATTATTGTTTAATATAATTCGCGTTTTAAACACTTTATTACGTATTTGCAGACATCTAACTATAAACTTAAGACTATATATTATTTACGTAAGTAACTTACGTATTTGTCAGTTTTTGTTTAACTTTTTTCGTTCAGTGACCTTTGTATAGATATATGTAGGTATATTAAGTTTACTTCCAAATGTTCGTTTACATAAGTAGACATTAGCTGTTTCCTACAACGTATTTATTAATTGGTAATTACCGATTGGCTACGAACGATCGATATTCTAATTAGATAAGCGCTAACCTCATTTGCTTCAGTTATTGAAGTGTGAAAAAAGCACACAGATTACACTGCATAATGAATAATTAAGCCAAATTACGTAGGAATCTGTTGATGTTTCCTGATTAGGTATTTTTGCAATTTTTATATAATGCTGTGTTGTATGTGTGGGATTTGTCTCAAAATTGACCATGAAAATACAAATTAAAAATCGATTTTAGATTCAAAAAAGCATTGGAGACAATGGCGATAATACTCAAGACCTGTTGATTATTAGCTGCACGTTAGAACCATTATACCAACGAGCTCTTCAAAAAACAGGGTTTTATATTTAAATCAAAGCTATGCTCTATGCTGATTCAAGTCCGACTCATGTCGTAAGTTTTTTCCAATCTAAAATTGTTTTTTTTTTTACTTTATATAATGCCGTCAGGTGCATTATATTATAAAGTAATGCCTCTCTTGTCTATTACATTATCTACGGTAATACATACCCACATATCGTTGAGCGGCTGTGGCGAGAGAGAGGCTGGCGCGGAAGACACCGCCGAATCACCATCAGACGGCGCCTCCTGCAAACAATATATAAAATTAAAACAAATAATAAGAAACTGTTTATGACGACCACGACTTTGGAGTCCCAATGAACATGATGCAATATTAACCTAAAAGTTTTAATCTATACTAAGTAATAATCTAACAAGATTTCCAGACGAAGTCTAACATGCTTCAGAAGAATTATAAATTGATTAAGAAATATGTTGAATCTGTCGGGGATCGAATCCACGACCCGTTGATTATTAGCCGTACATTGCAACCATTACATCAATGAGCCCGATCATAAAAATGGGAATTTTAGTTAGCTAAATATTAATACCCTGTATAATATAAGTACTGAGTTTATTAAGTTTATACAACAACATTCACTGTTTATACGGGGATATTATCGACCATAATCCACTACAATATCCACTTTCTAAGTCTAGACAAAGGATTTATGGAAATCAAACTTAGGTCTTCCTGTTATGAAGCCTATGAAATAAAGAGGTTGGTAACCTCTTTACATAAATACCTAAACAAATGAATAATAATAGCAACTCACCCGATAAAATGTTTCTTTTCTATGTTGTATGTCGGTTTTCAGATCTTCTCGATTTGTTTTCTCCTTTCCCTGTAAAGATAGAAATAATTTTAGTTTTTGTATATTGAGTACAGATGCAGATATAGTAAGAGCAAATAATCACGAGAGATCAAAATATAATAATGGTACATAATATTTTAATGATCAAATAAGATGGACGCCAACTTCAGTTTTGTACACAGTCTAAATCACAACACAAAAAATAATAATCGTACGAAGTTTATTTAATAAAACAAAGGTATTTAGAAAGTACTACTAAATATGTATGCCTCAAAAAAAACAGAAAATAAATTTAGTTAATAAAAGCGCCATCTATCATTAATGTCCTAAAACAAAACGCATGTCGCTAAACATGTAGAAGTTCTTGCTATGCTAACACTGTTAATAAAACATATACGTCAAGAGATGGCGGTTGCAATGCAATAAACATTTCACTTCTTATTACTTAATCAAGATATTGTGTGAAAAAATTGTTATTAGTTCATGTTGTTTCAAGCGAGTTATTTTAAAATTTTATTTTAAACACTTTTACTAACCCCGAACTTTAAACCATATGCAATTTGAGCAAAACGACAAGAATAATTAATAAATAAGTCGACGACTAGATGAAAAATAATTTATTTTTATCTCAAGTATAAATATAAAAGTTAAACGCGTTAACAGTATGCCGTGAGAATCGAATGTAATAATGTATAATAAACATAATCGATTCGTGAAACAAACAAGGAAATTTGTTTACCCCACATTGCATAAAGGGGAAACGGGTGTAAATAATAGATAGATAGTACTCTAACAGCCGCCGCTTTAATTAAATTATTCACATACCTATTGATTTAAACATGGTAATCTTGCAACTAACAAGCGGAGGCTAGTTAAATCGGTTAACGGTTGCAAGTGCTAATTCTACACTGAACGAAACGGGTAAACCTGTTCCACTCACAAAGATGGAAGGCTTCAACTTTCAGACGTAAGCGTCTTGATCTTGGATGTCGTAAATAGGAGGGAAATGTTACTTTCAATATTTACTTGGAGACGTTACAAAAATGTCAAGCGATATACAAGTATGTACTATTAAGTGTTGACGGGATTGTTTGAGTGATGCTACCAATGTACTCAACGGGTCGCAGGTTTGATCCCCAACATGCCTCTAATCTTTCAATTTAGTTTTCTAAAATATGTCAGACTTCGTCTGGAAATTAAAAGGATAGTAGGAATATGAAATGCCGTCCGGATCACAAGCCACCGCCCACAGATAAAAAAAGACGTGAAGTTTAATCACGTGTGTTTCGGTCTGTGGATTTCCGAATATCCAAAGCCAAAAAAGATCGATCATTAAAAAGAAAATAGTGCATTATAATTGACAAAATAAACAAGTAATTTTATGTATTTTGTAGAAAATTACAAACAGCCAGTTTTACTATATTTGTAGTTGTGACTTGTGTTGTGTACATCTCAGACCTCCATTTGTTTAATCCTGCATTCTTAGGCTTATCAACAAAACATATATTGTTGTAAATAAATAAAAAACTAATTAAACAAAAAATAATTCGAACAGTAAGTATTATTCAAAACGTGTCCTACTGTAAGTTTGATTAGTAAAAGTTATTAGTACCTCTATTTACTTCCATCAAAATAAAAACATTATAAGTAATATGAAATCTTCTGCAATATTTGTACTCACTATAAAGAAAATAAAGATGTACACAGCTTTCCTAAAACGCTTGTAGTAATAATAATATCATTGAACTGTTCATCTGTTTGTATCGCGATGACCCTTAACGGCTTTCTACCCACTTTCGCTAATCAAGTGCCGATCAATATCTATTGATACAGTCGTAATGTACTCAATATTTCGTAAATATTTAAGCAGAACTTTTCCCAACATGTTTTCTTTTTTTTCGTTTACTAGTAAGAAAAGCAGATAGGTTTTGACAAGCAGCAATATATCGCTAATAAAATCGTCTTAGGTTCGATTGCAACCATGTCTAACAATTTTTTAATATCATTTTATAATTCTGAAATAAAACCTCATTTGAAAACCTAAATGTTTGAAGTTTAATTATAATGTTTAATAATGTTATATGGCATTTAAAAAAAAACGTGATCCTTAATTTGTTTCGTACATTATGATGTGTGATATTACATTAACATGGACAATGGTATTTAAATAAAACACTTTAACGGTTTAAAACGCGATATATATTAGTTAAAATTGTTTTAACCATGGCCCGACGTTTTGGATGTTTTGCAGCAGCCATGGTATGGTAAAGATGGATGGTGTCTCGGACGTCAAAGTAAAAAAAAACTGCTATGCTAGTGCCATCTGTTCGAAGTTGGTATTTGGCGAAACTGGCTGGGTACATACCTAGTAATATACATAGTACATAGTAATCAAGAAAACATAGCAACAGCACTGCATGGCTGTTAGTAACTTTCTTTCCCAGTAATTTCTTAAACCGAGGGTCCCTCCATAATAACCAGGGCTGGTCGAAATAACTCGCAACATGATTGCCCTGTAATGAACGTTTGATAGCCAATTTAGGGTCATTCTTAGTCGTGTCGTGTAAGACCTACATTCTGATCTTGGCATCGAAAGTACTACATGATCGGAATATAATCAAATTTCTTCATCAATTTGTTGGTATGTCTAGTACTTTCACTATTTATTGATCTTTAGGCCTAATGTCGGCACGTGCTTTGAAATGACGAAGAATCACAAACAAGCTTAGTTTAATATAAATAAAATAAAAAGGAAGAAAATAAAGTTATTTAAATAAAACACTTTAACGGTTTAAAACGCGATATATTAGTTAAACTTATTTGAAAATTATTTTTAACTTCGGCCCGACGTTTCGGATGCTTTGCAGCAGCCGTGGTCACGGGGAGACTGCTACAGACAAAACTTTTAATTGGCTTTCTGGTATGTTCTTAATTTTGACGTCTCGTACAGACTGTACGTTTTTCATATGTCAAAGAATAATAATAATAATTTTTATACCTGACATAAATTTCTGCTACTATGGTGTAATGTTTAAAGAAATGCAAGAAAGTTTCCAAGTTACAAAATATAGTGTAAAATTATGAAAATAACCAGAATAGTTACCTAAGAGTTGAGACAAAGGCTATACTTTTTCTATGCTATCTCACTGCATAGTCTAAACTATTTGAGTATTGCCAAACAAAGGGCCGACTACTATAAGATTGTCCTTGCAACGCAAGTAACAAGATCTCTCGTTCACTGCCCCAATTCCCACGAACTAGTCTATTAGGAAGCGTGTCGAGATTTATACGAGCCAATCTCAAAAGCAATAGCCACCTATAGGCCGGTACTTTATCATAGTAACTACTAATAGGTGTGGGTGTAGATTAGAGTGGACGCCAGTAACTGGTAATAAAGCGGCATGTTCATCGTGGAATCTTTCAGAATCTAACGAAAACTAAGATGGATTGAATACTGTGTGAAGAACACAGTGGATAGTCGATATAACACGTGGAGTTTCCAGTACTTCATAGTAATATTTGCCTAGGTAAGGGCTGGTTAAAATTTCACGAAAATTCTGAGTATTGCTAAGAATAAAGAAACCGACTATTCACTCATTCAGAGATTGACATAACTAGCAGATCACCATTATTTTGGGCATATTATTATTTATATTTAATACCTCCTCAGCTTTAAAAATTAAAGTTGCTAACCTTTTCCTAAAATATCCTTTTTCCTACATATTGTGTTTGTTTCTTCTTCTTGTTGTGTGATGTTTTATAGCCTAAAGTCTTCCTCGATAAACCAACTCAAAAATATTTTCTCATAGTTCCTGAGATTAGCGCGTACAATCACATAAACCCTTCAGCTTTTTTTAGTATAGATAAATGGTGTTGGTGGTAGTGTTTCTTAAATAAACTCTAAACAAATTTTCTAACGGTCCATAGTGTAGTGTACAAATTCTGATAAGTATTGCATTCATTAAGTCCCAGTACATTACGAACAAACCCGACATGTAACAAATGGTACGATAAGCCTGTTACAATGGATAATCGATGTCGATAAATTGCATTTTACTATGATAAGTAGGGTACAAATTAGCGGCATATTTTTCAAAGCAAAATGTAGAAGGATTAATAAATCAAAATTTAAGCTCCACTGCAAACTTCGTAACATAAACAGAATTAAATTGCAAATTGTCTGTGCATCAAATTAACTCTGAAATCCAAAATAGATTTTAATCTGTGTGAGGTGTTAAAGAACTTGCAACATTTTACACCACTTGTTCGTCTCTAAGTTAATAGGAGGACCTATGACCCTATGATGTCCCTTCACTTTTAGTTGCCCTGATTTCTCTAAATTAACTATACCCTACATCTAGCAACACTATTACTATATATGGAGCTGCTAAGTATATAAATCTGAAATACTGTCTGTAGTTTACGCGAGTACACATTCAAATAAAACACTAACGGTTTGAGATGTATATTTGTTACAATAATTGCTGTATAAGTTTAACTAATATATACATCGCGCTCTAAACCGTTAAAGTGCTTCATTTACATACATAAAACCTTTTAAATAATAAACGTAAACGTATACAATACAGTCAAGTCCAACTTACTTGATAACATCCATTGTCGTACGTATACGTATGTACTATCCATTTTGAGTTAGGTATGTCACAAATTTTAAAGTTTTTAATTATATTTGAATTGTGCTTATGTTAAAATCAAAGAATTTAAAATTCTATTGAGATTCTTGAGTGATTATTATGCATGCACATAATCACATATAATAGTTAGGATATAATTGTGATCTTTCGTAATTTCTTGTACACAAGAAATCTCCTTATCCAAAAAAATGGATATTAAACGGACTTTATGAGTTGGGCATGCAAGCCGAAACTGTGCCGTTTCCATAATTTAATAAAAATCATCTCCGAAAGCAGGGTCAATCAACTTTCACAACTGCATCGTTGATCTGATTCTCTGGTCATATTCAATGCAAATATTATGCAATGAGACAGGTCGATGGGCATACTGACAGAGGATCTCGTACGAATTTATTTCTTTATTATTAAGATTAACAGATTGCAATCGATAAAGGATATAATTGTTATTACGTTTTTATTAAAATTCTTAGGATTCCAATATGAATTAAAAATCGATTTTAGATTTTAAAAAATTAGGACACGGGCAGGACATGGACCGCGCTCCGTGCTGTTGTACGCTGTGGATACCAATTCAACCGCAGCCCGAGTCGTAATTTTTTTAATTTAAAATTTATTTTTAATTTTTTAGTGCCCTCATGTGCAAAGTTTTCGAAAGATTCCGATATTTGTAGAAAGGTTACCTCAACAGGAAAATCTTACACACAACTAACGACGTTTATTCAATTAAATGCAATGGAAACTTCAATTGAAAATTGAAAAGTTATGGAATTGAGAAATGGAACGCTTATAACAATATGTTGTGGGGAATTTATACTTTACTTAAACTTTTACCAAACAATTTTCTCATTTAAGACCCATATTTATTTATAGTAAACATAGCACAACGCCAAAGAGTAGCTATTATCAATAATCCATACATATATAGAACAGGTATGCAATGCATCTGTGCAAACACGTGCCCGTATATTTCGAGATACTCATCGGCTGCAGACAAAATAACAAGTGAACCAACCATTAATGAAGCAATAGAAATTCCGCGGTGACCGTCTGCATATTCAAACTAAAAAGGTACAATTGAACGTGAAGATACTGTACAGTGCTGGTATTAACCAGAGTTGGCAAAAGGTATATAGTTGCTTGACTGTTTAAGAATTAAACGTCTGTAGAGACCGCGTTTGACGTTAAACAAACGGTAGAAACAATTAAATATCTGTACACAAAACAATTAAATCGATGTAATCTTAATCACTTGAGAAGTTAATTACAATAGAGACTTTCTAAGTAATAAAAAGTAGATCTTCGAATTCGTTAGGATACCGTTCATGTTTTTATTTCATATCATTTTAATCTAAAAAAAATCTTAAGCGACGATTAAAAGCAGCCTCTGTAGCGAAATGGTAAAACGTGTTGTGCATTACATTAAGCGTGAGAGGTCCTGGATTCGAATTTCTAGGAAACAATAGATTGATTCGGCCGACCAGAACACAAAAGCCTCTATATCCCTTTATTTACCCTTATCCCACAGAGGAAAATGGCTATCCAGATTATTATTATTAGACTATTATAGATAATCATTTATATAACTATGATACCCCGGAAGAAATTTCGGAAACATTCGAAAAGTTGTTAAGAAGCGATAAATAAACATAAAAGTCGCGTCAGGTGTCCCGCCCACGTTGCTTTCCCACATGTATCGATGTAGGTTGGGTCAAGAGGCAGTAACATACATTACAATAAGTATAATGTATTCATAGCTCCACGATTATCTTAATACTTTATGGGTAGAGTCGCCTCTTTTGAGTCAGATTATGAGGCAGTTTCCGGTGTCCATAAACAGCTTAGTTTTGAAAAAAAAAAGCTTTTATAGCGTTAAATACAAGTTATAATGTAGAAGTTTTAAAACTTCACTTACTAATGGTGGCATTAAATAAATAAAAATATATTAAAAATAAATCTCGTTCCGCCCGTGTCGTAGAATTCGAAAATCGATTTTTAATTTGATAAATAAGTTGATAAAGTCATAAAAATACAACTGTTTCTAAGATTGACAATAGAAGTTTCATGAGAGCACGATATACAATAACATAGAGATCTAAAATTCTATTGATATTTGATGTATAATCTATACTAGTATATACAGCTGAAGCGTTTGTTTGTTTGGTTGAACACGCTTATCTCAGGAACTACTGGTTCGAATTGAAAAATTATTTTTGTGTTAGTTAGAACACTTATCGAGGAAGGTTTTAGGTTATAAACCACACGCGCTGTAACTAATAGGAGCGAAGAAGTAGCGGGTAATGTAAAAAAAACGGGGGGAAAATTTTCATCACTGCGGGTTTCAGATGCGTACGCTACGAAAACGGTTCAAGACACCCAAAAAATATGTATACAAACAAGAATAATTCCTCTTTAAATGATCTAAAAAAATATCCACGACACTATATGTCTATCTTTAAAGATTAACTTGCAAGAACGACGGGTCGCGAGCGATGTCGGATAGCAGTTTAAATTTATAAAGGTCAACAGGTTTGCAAGAACAAAATTTGGATGGCCAAAATAACTATTTTACGTGGACAAAGTCGCTGACACAGCTAGTTATGAACTTGTAAACTCCGGAAAAGTCTCATTCACGAAATAACAGGAGTAAAAACTTAAAACCTCCTAACATGTTAAACCAGTAAAAACAAGTGAAACTGGATCTTCAAATGTGAAACCTTTAAAAGAAATCTCAAAGAATCCTTATAATGTTCCAAGATTTATTATATGGCACAAAAAACTTTGCACGTGAGAATTTCCAATTTCCGCTCAGACGTCGAGACACCGAGATTTATAAAAGATATTACATGATAATGTTGCGTTGTCATGTATTTTCGACCGCGACGGTGGTGCATTGCCTAGGAATTATTATCTTATACTAGCGACCCGCCTCGGCTTCGCTCATTTGTGATGTTGATGCTAAATACACTACAGAAAAACTGTGAACGTTGTATATAAAGACCTTCCTCTTGAATTACCTAATATTTAAAACCTTTTATTTAAAAATTTAAGCGTAGGTACATAGGGACAGAATAAGCGACTTTGTTTTATAATATGTAGTGATTAAACAGTACAAGTCCTGGGTTTGAACTCCAGAGAAATGACATAGATTTAGTCCAACAGGGCCCCAAAAGTTTAATCTACTACTGGCTCACGTAAAAGAATATCATTTTATATTTATTATTATTGCCGCGTCAATGAAACTGTATTTTACTTTTAAATAATTAACACTGATTATAAACCTCTTAAACAGAACTTTTTTTCGTAGAAAGTGAATTAATTCGAGAATTTTACTATTTTTTTTTTGATTAGCGTTTCGTGAAGATGTGACAGTCAGCTTGTCTCATAGTGGAAGACGTATGACGTCAATGTATCTCAGACAGGTTCCAAAAGTAGGTGAGGTGAGTGTCTTTAGCATATTTCTCATATTTCTGTTTTCTTTTTACTTTTATAGCCTAATTTTTATTTTGTTTTATTTGGGCACTAATTTGTAAATATAATATGTTTCTAAACAGAATAGCTATTTAAAAAAAATATAGAGTAACTTATATATTATAAGTACCATTTTTAGGAACTAAAAATATGGTTTTCACTTCCCAATTTCTACATAATGCTAAGTGAAAACCAAATTGAGAGAAAACTTAACTTTCATCCAAAATATTCGCACAATAGACAATGCACAATGCTAACCCTTAAACAGTACAGTCATCATTTGTAATAGAAATAATTTCCTCAAAAAACTATACAATATAAAAGTGTTATAATTATGAAACTTTTTGTCTATTGTCTTAAATCCTTTGAGCAAAACAACTAGGCTTAATATTACAAAAATAAATCTTTATTTTTTTATATTTAATCAAGCATAAAAGTGTTGTGTTGTGTGTGTGCGCAGTTTACTAATCAAACACTTGCGTGTAAATAGAATCTACCAGTGAAACGGACACCTAAATATGTTTGTCTACATAAGAAAAAACGGGACTTACTGGAATGTCGATAATCGATTTTTATATGAGATTTATCAATTGAAAATATGATTTCTATGTGAATAAAGATCCTTTTGTCAATAAATGCTTTTATTCCAACACCTAGACACATTTAATTAAGCACCGATAAAAACAACACTGTAATGCTAAAAACGTCAATATTCGTTACATGATAATTGTGAGATTTGAAACGCGCAAGAAACCCGTAAGATTTACAACACGTAGCTCTAATTTTCATTAGATAATTCTTACTAATTTATTCATGCGACCGTTTTAATCGGGTTGGCGATATTATGTTGTTTTTAGTACTTCATATTTCTCAGTATAGTACCCATGCTGTGGTAATTCTAAAATCGATTTTAATTTATATACAGTATACATTAATCATATAAATTCAAATTTTCACATGAGGGTATTTTTTTTTTTTTTTTTTTTCATGTGAAAATTTGAAAAGTTTTTACAAAAGATAACTAAACAGTTATATAGTTCAATTAAATAGTAGAATTTAAGTATGGAAATTTCTTCCTGAATTCAACATTAAAAGGACCTATCGAGCATAATAAATAATAAAAACATGTTAAAACGGCAGTCGATTTATTAACTGTTACTACTTGTCAGTGACCACTTAAGCTTTTGCAACTTCTACAAAAATAATTAGAGACACAACTATCGGTAATGCAAATAATTTTGACGTAATTGTATAACAAGATAAAAATAGATAAACGAATGTAACATAACTGGGGAGCTTTTAAATTACACCGTTGAACGTAATGCTACTTTTTGCTGCTTAGCAGATGATTGAAAGTATTTTTAAATGACAGCTGCTTCGTTATTATACAACTTGACACCTGTCAGTTAATATGTCAAGTGAGAAAAAAGTACAGTTCAATTATACACTTTGAGGAGTCTGTGGTGATTCTTAGAACGAGATAATTGAATGTAGATTAAAATTAGGGCATACCTGATCACCACGCTTTCTGAATTCTGAAGTTCCACACTCCATCTTTTGCGCCTCAAAAAAAAAAAAAAGAGAAATTTAATTATTTTATATAGTAACTATTGTTTAAGTTTACTGATAAAATATAACTAACCCGCAATTTTATACTACATATTTATATTTTTATAATTTAATCACAAGAGCACAGTACAAAATACAACATAATTTTTACACAAAATAATAGTTAATTCCATGTATTTGTAAGTTAATTGCGTATTTTTATTTTTTCCTTATTGAAAATCATGTTTTTTATTATTGAGCGACTCTGCCTATAGCAGCCTTATATATACACGAATTATGTGGGTAAAATTATCGTCGTTATATTGTAACAAGTGTGACACAGGAAATATCTTTCTACAGGAAATTTAATGTTTAATAGTTTAAAAGACACTGATGTAGGATCTAGTACAGTTAGCAAAAAAACTCGCGGCCACATCAAAAGTGAAACAGGAAAGTGCGATAATGACCATACGCTCCATCCGCCACTTTGCACTGAGTAATGAAATCCGCTCTCAAGCAATCGATAATTGCTCTTATGTAAACGCCGTAGGCTCTAATTTTCTATGTCATTACTGCAGATAATTTCATATTCACAAGACGAGTCTTTGAAACGTATAAATCCTTTACAGCATAAGATCAGATTTTAAGTGTTAAATGAAATACGAAAGATGAGACAACTCTTATGTTAAATGAAATAAGGTTGAAAATGGTGCGTTATTATAGGATAATGACTAATGATACAGCATGCCAATTTTATACAACACGACATAATAGCATTCCTTCAATTGTTGTGAGTGAAAACATGAAATATGATCAAAAGTAATATTACTCTTCACTTGGAATGGCAATGAGAGAGCGAACATAATTGTAATTTCCAGTTTATTTCCTTCAAAAATTACCACAACAAAATTTAAATAAACTTATTAGAAAATTATTTTAACTAGGGCCCGATGTTTTGTATGCTTTGCAGCAGCCGTGGTAATGGGGAGACTAAAGTTGAGAGGGTCTCTGAGTTCAAAAAAAAGAAAGCTAGCGCCTCCGCTCTCTGTTACGTCGAAGTCGGTATTTTGCGAAACAAGCCAGGTCCTTGCAGAATTGACTAACGGTGTCTTCGCGTTTGCTGCTGCTTGCTGTTTTTTGGAATTCGGAGTTCTTAATTATGGGATCCCAGGTTTTTGATAACTTAGAGCGTCCTCCCTATTGAAGTTTTTGTGCTTTCGACTGCTTCGCGTACCAATCTAGGAATAAATCGACTCTCCTTTACGATGATTTTTGGCTGGTTAAAGCAGATGTAGTGATTAGGCCCTTCAGACGAGTATGGGCATACCGCAGATTTAGAACACCACTCGTCTGAAGGGCCTATGTTTTTAATAATTTTTGACATAACTACCTAAATTATTTTCATAAACATATGATTGCTAACTAAATACTCAAAGGTTAATTAGAATATACAGGTAAAATAAACTCAGTAATGGCAGCATGGCTTGATGACGCAAACTTAGGATAAACCTCGGAATTACGCAAGCTTTATGAAGACCCGGGGCATGCATAGCATAGTAAGTTTAAACTCCCGACCGTACGGATCTATTGCAATATTTAACTATGATGGCATTGATAGTATAAAAGGAGTGATGGGGAAATGAAATTGTGATATCTATATGACCCGCCTACTAAATTTTAAGGTGACAAAATTAAAGTAGGTACCATACTACTACTATTAATATATAATTGTATTATTTTGCTCAATTGAAAATAAGAATTTATAAAAAAAACGATATTTGATATTAAAAAAGTGAAAAGAGTTTAGTCACATATATTTTTCTCTTCCACTAATCGATTTTATCACAATACTTTGTTAAAGTTTCATAATTTTCAGATTAAAGCATTTTATATTTATCCGGGATTTGCGCAGTAATCTCTCATACGCATTTTAAAAATTACCACGGTCAAATATACCTACCCTACCTTTTTCAATTAAGTATTGTCTATAGTTTATGATAGTATAGTATAGATTTAAATAGAACACTTCCATCAGTTTAAAACACTCGCATAAGCATCGGAAACGACAGGCCCAAGTAAAATAAATTTAAAAAAAGTCAACTAATAAATATTGCATAGTAAATTGATGAATGTTTTATTAAAAACTTTTAAAATTTTGTTTCATATATGAAATAGATCTTTGTAAAAAAACACACGAACTTAATGTTATTAGATAAAAAATCACCTCACTACACTTCAGGTCAGTGTAGACACTAGACATGCTCTATTTATCACTCGGTGTTATTCAATGTTCACATTTTATCACATAATATATCATTACAAATATATAGCATTCATTTTTCCGTCGTAATAAAATCTTTACAAATGAAGAACTGCAAACGAATAAAACAAATTAGGATTTCTTATAGAAAAGAAACATATAAAGTTAAAAATATATCATTTACTCTTATACGTACATGCTTCATGCGTAATAAAGTAAATTCCCATACTTTTATTTAAAAACTTTAATATGCAACATGCCATTTTGTTATTAACGTGAATTTAAGACTTATTGATATATACTTGTACCAGGAAGGAACTACAACGCCGATTTTATATGACATCCCCCCCTCCTACCTTCCCTATATAAAACTAATTTCGAAATATACAATGAACCTGGAATAAAACAAAGAACTTGAAATTAAGGGGAATTACCAATGTAACTGTAAAAAAAAGAATTTAATAAAAATAATAATAAAATAAATAAATTTAACACTTTAACGGTTTAAAACGCGTATATATTAGTTAAACTTATTTGAAAATTATTTTTAACTTGGGCCCGACGTTTCGGATGCTTTGCAGCAGCCGTGGTCACGGGGAGCTAGAGATGGTGGATGTCTGACGTCAAAGTAAAAATTGCTACTCTAGCGCCATCTGCCCAATTTGTATTTGGCGAAACTGGCCGGGTCCTTACAAATTGACTAAGTTGTCTTCGCGTTTGCTGGTACGCTGTTTATTGGGATTCAGAGTTGTTAATATGGGATCCCAGGTGTTAGCGTCCTACTTAAATTTCTCTGTTTTTTAATTTCAATTGCTTCGCGCACCAATCTTGGAAACAATCGACTCAACTTTGCGAGGATTTTTGGCTGGTCAAAGCGAATGTAGTGATTGGACTCTTATGATGAGTGTTGGCATAACGCAGATTTAGAGTGGCGCTATTAATGCTTTATATCCGCGATGTGTTCTTTAATTCTGTAAATTAATATAAAAATAATAATAATGTAACGACATTTGAGACACAATATTACAGATGGTAACCGAAGCTTCTGGTCTCTATTGATTGCATTGACTAACCAAAAAATATAACGTTAAAACAAAGATTTTTTTATCTTTTTCTTTCACCGTGCAGGTTGGTTAAACGCAAGTTTTAACATAAAACACCTCATCTATATTGTTCTTAACGTAACGTAACGTAACCTGCTAACGGCAGCTTATCTTCACTTAAAAATCCATTAACCACCTCCAATTTTCTAATGTTTACACACCTTAAAAACTGCTGTTTAATAATTATGCAGAGGTTGTGTAACATCAATATTTTCACCCACTTACGTCATATCAGAAGAAAGATAAAGAAGGGCTCGCAGGCAAAATCCCAATGATATATAATGTTATACAATATCCGTTTACATGTATTGTTGCGTATATAATAACATTTTGAATATTTTAATTATTATTTACAAAGTTTTTTACCGCTGCACGTCATACAATTATTGAAAGCCGTGCGTTTTAAATGTTTTTAGCATCTATGACACATCTATACTAATATTTAAGCTGAAGAGTTTGTTTGTTTGAACGCGCTATTCTCAGGAACTACGGGTTCGAATTTAAAATTTTTGTGTTGCGTAGAGCATTTATCGAGGAAGGCTATCATTATAGGGTTTCGAGGTGCAAAAACGGTTCGCTGAAACCCGGTTCACCCAAACCTGTGATGTATGAAAGAGTGATTCCTCTTTAAATTATGTAAAAAAATATTTGCGACAATTCTAATCTATAATTCTTGTCTATCTCTTAAAGATTAACTTGTCAAGAACGACGGGACGAGGACGTCGCTACAATGTATTTAATATATTCAAAGAAACAGTTAAAATTTATAGAGTTGAACAGGAGCTTTGCAAAAACAGATTTTGACGCCTTATTTATTTTAATAATAAACTTTTATGGCATATAAAGATAATTAGCACGTACTTTGTTTCTTGTCTTCTCTTCCAAAATATAAGCAAAAAAATACCCTTAAATATAACGGTTTACTATGAAACCTAAAAATAAAATGGCCGCCATGTAGGTAAGTTTAAACGTGTAGAATAAGTTCGCAAAAAGATATAATTAACATTTAAGATGAAGCTTTATATGATATCTAGGTTTACTTTAAAGGCTCTTAGCACCAAATTAAGGCCGGTTTCATAACTTAAGTCAGCCTTGAATTAAACGTCATTAAACGTGTCTAAACATCGTTTCTACATAACGTCAGACGATACTTAATTGACATTTTAAATATCTAAATATTATGTCAAACATAAAAGAAGTTTCCGTTTTAATAAACAGATGGCAAAAACCATTCTCCATAGTGTCGTAGACCAAAAATGGACTTTAAATATTCATTAATAATGATGTTTAGTTGAATTTTTTATTTACAGTTATTTAAATATTTTAGAATTGCAATATTTTTTACGCTTTTGCCTCTTTGTGGCTTGAAGAGGCATTCTTTTTTTGTATTTATTTTTTTTATTAAGAAATTTAGTGATAATTTTACCTGTCAACACTCATTATCGATTTTTAAAGAGACAAATAATTCCTTGCATTAAATCATAAACTTACATAATTCGACAGTTTGTTTAACCACTACTACATAAATATAATTACATACGCTCATGGGCTTTCACACTAATTATATGTTCCGATGATGAATTCCGATCGGCACATATTATATAAGATCGACCAATAATTCATTATGAACGCTCATACAAAACAGTTGAATA